GAAAAAAAAACTCGAGAAATTATTCTGCCCGTCCCATGGAGGAAAAACAAAGAGGAGGTGTGGTGATTAAATTTTCTCAAGAAACGACGCGTGATAATTTGCGGGATGCGGGGTGTTCAGCTCCGCCCACTTCTCAATATTTCATCTATCGGCTAATAGCAAAACTAGCTTAGGTTGATATTTATGTTACTACGTAGTAGTTCAGCTATCTAACACTAGATGTTCAAAAGTTTTGTATATAATGGGACGTACTCAGAACTTGAAGCTTCAAAAAAATGAAATATGTAGGTAAATAAATAAAATAAACGTTAACAAATTTGACCGATTTTAAAATTTTTAAGGTATAATTTTTATTATTTTGAAACATGTTACTGCTTGATGAAAAAAAATCCAGGCAGACGGGACTCGAACCCGCACCCGCTCCCGTCTGCTGCCTGGGGGCCAATCGCCTAACTGGATTGCTTTGGAAAACGCTATCGCTTACGATTTCATTTTGTTATTTCTAGCCGCCTGAGGTTTTCAAATGCCTCGCACTCTTTTTTTTTCTTTTGCATTGGTAATAACAATGTTAAAGAAAATGAGCGTGAGGTATTTGAAAACCTTCGGCGGTTAGAAATAACAAAATGAAATCGTAAGCGATAGCGTTTTCCAAAGCAATCTGGTTAGGCGATTGGCCCACTGGTCCGCGTGGATATTTTTCTAGTTATATTTTCTTTAGATTTAAATTTTAAGGTAGTTTAAAAATAATAGACAAAATTTTATTACAAACATAATTTTATTAAAAAACATCAATTACCTGTAAATAATAGTTTTGGTTAGTTGTTGTCGGTTGGTTGCCCTATCGTTTTGTATTGTGGCAAAATGCTTAAAACGAATATCAATATATTTTTCTGCAATCGATTTCATCAGAAATACAACATGATTAACTGTAGGTGATTGGTCAAACATATGGTTGGCCGATTTTTTGAAACAATCTTGTCCAATAAGTGATTTTAATGTATTCGATACAATTTTATGTTTACGAAAGTTAGGAGTATTCAAAGATTGCGATTTAACACAACGAATACTGCCTTCGGTCCGTATACATATTTTTATGACATCTCTAGATGGGAAAGTAAGGCCACCCTTATTTTTAGTTTTTATCAAATCAAGGTCACTATCGTCGTAGTTATCAGCATATAATTCTTTGAGACAGCTCTCACATTTGATCTTGGAATGTAAATATTTGACCACATACCCAGAAATATATGCTACTATTTGACGGCGCAAATAGTCACCTATAGTTGTATTTAATTGTTCATCAAATTCCAATAACATATCGTCAGGCATAGGCTCGACATCCGTGCTATCCGAAGACTCGAAACTCATTTTATTTAAAATGCGATAACGTTCTGATGTAATATTAATTTTTTGCACAGAAGATTCATTTAAAATGGAAATATCTTCTTCTTCTATGGTGTCCAATCCGGTCTATTAAGTTTTGAAATCCATTGCTGTTTTAAATTATCGTTGGATGGAAATCTAAAACGAACATAAAAATAATTAAAATTTATTTACTTGGTAAAATAATTTAATACGTATTACGGCCCTGGATATTTGTAACGTTTAAAAAGTTATTCTATATGACGACAGATGGCGGCGAGTTAGTAATATATTGATAAAATTACTGTTTTAGATACTAAAAGTTATTTAGGAATAAGTGTATAACAGTTTTCAGTATTTACGTATGATTATTACAATATACTACTGCAAAATTATACGTAAACTTGTGTATTTTCTTCCTAAAAGTGTCGCCATCTGGTGTCAAGTAGTAGAATTTTAACGCTGATAGCTGAGGCTGAGAATGTTCTAGAACTTATATATTTAATTACGTATAAAATTACTTACAAATGAAATGTGATGCCATCCATATTATCAGAAAGTCTGTCTGAGTAACTTTGACATAGTAAAACACAAAACTTCATCCTTTTCTTGTTAAAAACGCAAAAAAACACTTATAATGCGAGTCTCGTTAAGTGTGCACCTGACGAACGCTGAAAGCATACTGACTTAGGCCCCGCCCACAATGATGACGTCAGGACCTAGTTGAAAATCACAGTGCACAGTTGCTTAGGCCAGCTCCTCTTTGTTTTTCCTCCGTGGCCCGTCCTGTCAAATCACAAGACAAAAACCATAAACGTCATCGATGTAAAATGACCCCAGAGTTTGAATAACTTAATTTTTGTGTGCAAGTCTTTGTGCCAAGCTTTTGTTAGAAAGTATCGAAAATGATTTTGACAAAATTATAGTTGTTAAGTGTGTGAAAGCTAATTTACTTCATATTATACCCATTTTTGCACTGGAGCACAATAAAGTACTATGCACTTACTTAATTTTTAACGTACCTACTGTCAGCAGCTGCCTTTGACAAGTTGTTAAATTTTTTAAAGCTTCAATTTACAGCGCCATCTATTTTTGGTACGTAGAATCTCGACGTTGCAAGAAGCACGTTTTCTAGCCTGGTGTCTAGCTATTTGTTCTGACTGTCTTGTACAGATCGAGACACTTTATACTTTTTAGTAACTCTACACGGTGTTTTTTAATATATCAATGATATTTAAATTAAAGGGGAATTGATATTTAGATTAAATTAAAGGAAACAGGGGAGCCTATACTAATGTTTAGCCCTCTTGTATTTATGCTAAACTATATAAAAATAACTTAATATATAATAACACGATATCTTTTTATTATTCTTTGAAAGCAATTCTCTAATCTTCGCGCGCACAATAAACCACTTGTTATTGTTTGATCGGTTTTAAAGAATTTATCGAAAATAAATAAAAAATTGCCAGAATTCACTTCACACTTCACGCTTTTCACTTTTTTTTTTCGTGTTCCCTCCCTCTTACAACCTGGGATCCTTTAAAAGAGGCGTGAAGAAGCAACATGCAGGCCGGCAGGGTGAGGATTGCTGGTGTGGCAGGTAAAACTGCTGTACCAGCTATCTTCGCGTCTGGACTTCACCTTCACTTAACATCAGGTGGTGGATTACCCTTAACATTTAGGGGGATGAAAAATAGATTACATCCGATTCTCAGACCTATTGAATATGCATATAAAATTTCATGAAAATCGGTCGAGCCGTTTCGGAGGAGTTTAACCACAAACACCGCGACACGAGAATTTTATATATTAGACTAGTTGACCCAGCGAACTTCCTACCGCCATAAAAAAAATTAATTAAAAAAACATTGTCCAGCGGACAAAATTGTGAATCTAAACCATTCTCAGATCCCCTTGAACACACACAAAAAATTTCATCAAAATCGGTCCAGTCGTTTAAGAGAAGTTCAGTGACATACACACTCACAGAAGAATTATATAAGTATATAAAGATATATATAATTTTTAGTTACCGTGACTCATAATTGTATAATGTGTCAATCAGAAATCAATATATCTTTATTCAAATTGGATGTATAGTACAACACTTTTGAATCGTCCAAACATTTTTTTCCCTACCACCCGTTATTGGACATATTTTTTAGCTGCGGAGAAAAACGAGCGAAAAAAACTCCACAACATTAAAAGCATAATGTAACAACATTTACAAATCATTATGTTGTTACAACGTCAATACAATCATGATTTATTTAATATAGAACACCTGTTGGAATGATTGGAACAGTTCAAACCCAAGCATTTTTGTCTGTAATATAATCAGACACTTTGTAATAAGCTTTTTTAATAAGTGCTTTTTTTATACTATCTTTGAATTTATTTATGCTTAACTCTTGGATATTGCTTGGGACTTTATTGTATAAGCGAACACAAAGACCTTTAAATGAATTATTGATTTTGTGAAGCCTAGTAGCAGGTAAAGTTAGTTTATTTTTGTTTCTTGTATTAAGTCTGTGAACATCACTGTTTTTAAGAAACAAATTTATATTTTTTCTTACAAGTAATAAATTTTCGTAAATGTATTGTGATGCGACCGTCATTATACCAAATTCTTTAAACCTATCTCTTAAGGAATCCTTAACTTTAAGATTATAAATTGATCGAATAGCTCTCTCCTGCAGCACAAAAATAGTTTGAATGTCGGCGGCGTTTCCCCACAATAAAATTCCGTACGACATTACACTATGGAAATAACTTAAGTATACTAATCTGGCCGTATCTACATCCGTTAACTGGCGTATCTTCATTACGGCATATGCTGCAGAGCTAAGTCTATTTGACAATTTATCAATATGTGGACCCCATTGAAGCTTAGAATCTAAAGTAATCCCTAAGAATACTGTGGTGTCTACAAGGCCCATATTCCTATCCTTTACATTCACCCTGTTTTACATTACGAAACTGTGTGTTTTACGAAATTAATTTCATTTGAAACTCCATAAAATTAAGGTAATATCTTTTAGTTAATTTTTGATATCTAATAACTGTTATATTACTTGATAGAGTCTACTTAACATTTTTTTTTAACTTATTTATTTATTACATTTTAAGTTGATGAATATAACATAACTGTGATGTAGAGGATTCGGTAGTTGGTAGACTAACCCCATCAGAATCCGAGGCCGCTTCGAGATGCAGCCAGGGAGGTCGAATGGGTGTGAAAGACAGGGAGAGGCGAAAGGAAGAGGAGAGGAATGGAAACGTAACAGAAAATAAATAAAAGGTTTAAAGGATGGGAGTAAGAGTGTAAGGGAATATGTTTAACAATCTTGCATGAAATACAGCCATTGACTAAATACATTCAATATTAAGTGTCTCACAGACAGACGCCGCTCACGACCGTGGCTAGGGTCGTGGTGGTTACAGAAATACACATAGGAGATTGAAAAACAAAACATTTTATGAACAATATTTTATTGCATAAAGTATAAAAATAAGGCACACTGATCATATTAGTCGCGGCACGCAACTAGCGCTGACCGTTATTGCGTAGAAGTAAAATTAAGATGATTTGGGGAGGAACGGATTGGCCCTCCAGTCGTACTTATGCGCAGCTATCCCCTCCGCGTTTTGTTTAGCACCAGAGTTACGTGCCGCGACCTGTAGTAGACCGAAATATTTGTCATGGTCCAGGCAGCTCGTTGTAGCGCACCGGATAAGTCAGCTGGTTGCCTCTATCCCATGAATAGAGTTCCTGCAAATAAAGTTTCGAATACTTATTTTATCTGATAAACGCAATGTAAATGATGAGTATAAAATAACAGGTTGTCATGAAACGGTATTAGCAGGAGCAATTACTTCATCTACTAGGAACAACCCGAAAATTAACGTATGTATTACAAGGAAAAACCTTCTATATATAAAACCTATATGCTGTTCGTTTGTCTCGCTAAAACTCGAGAATGGCTGGGCCACTTTAGTTGATTTTGGTTTTAAAATGTTGTCGTAGTCCAGGGAAGGTATAAACGGTGCGAAAATATGGAAAAATTGCGAACGCGAATAGCTTTCATTTCCTCCAAATTATTGTAAGTGGTACGAAGTTCGCCGGGTCAGCTGGTATACAATAAAAAAAAATAGCAGCCGTACTCAGAAATGTCAAAATAATTTTATGCTACATTCAGTCGAGAAGGAGGCACTTTTATTGCAACGAAAGTGACAGCATCATGTGTGTGATTATATCCCGTTGCGTGGTCTAAACGGGTTTGTAAACTGCACTGCATACGGATATATCCAAGAAGAAATAATAAGAAGTTTTACTGAACCTACATATGCGTGAGTTCCTTACCCAATAGGTGTTCTGAACATATTGGTGAACTGCATGGAAATGTCCAAGAAGAAAGAATAAGACGTCTTTCTCAACCAACCTTATGCATGTCATCGTAACACAATTAATCTTCCTGTCCTAAACGGGTTGGCTGACTGCATAGATATCGCCAAGATAACAAAAGGCGTTTTCCTCAACCAACTTTATGTCTGTGATTGTATCCCAGTTGAGTAGTCTTCCTAAACTTCCAAAACGGATTGGTGAATTGTAGGAATATCTGAACGAGTTGGTGAACTATAAGAATATCTTCAAGAAGAGAGAATACGGCTATTTCCTCAACCAACCTTATGCGTGTGATCGTAACCCAGCTGGGTGGTCTTCCTGAAAGGGTAGGTGAACTGGAGGGAAATTTCCAAAAAGAAAGAATAAGACGTTCTTCTGAACCAACCTTGTGCGTATGATCGCAACCTAGTTACGTGGAACTTCCTATAAGGGTTGGTAAGCTGCAGGGAAAGCTCTAAGAAGAAAGAATAATGTTTTTGGTAACCTATCATCGTTGAGGCATGTCACGTGACTGTCTGTTATGATGGCTACATTCAGCCACTTCACTAACAAAGAAATAACTAACCTTATGCGTGTGATCGTAACCGAGTTGCGTGGTCTTTCTGAACGGGTTGGTGAATTGCAGGGATATCTCCAGCTGCTTGTTGAGGTACAGGTCGATGGCGGTAGACACCTTGCTTTCACGCTCTGTCGCCGAGTCCAGTGCGTATAAAACACCGCACACGATAAACATCTCTCCGACCTGTGCAGTAAGGGCGTTTATCGGGTGAGGTTCACGGATAGTTCAGCGCGATAAAAGATTATATACTGTTTTTGTAGACAACTTTAAGATAATGGACGTATAATAAAGATTATGATGTAAACTGTCTTCTGCGATGGGTCTAAGGCTAAGAACTCACGAAGCGGTTTTCGGTCACAACCGCGGCGGGCTTAGTCCAATCTTATTCCAGAAGTTGCGGGACCGCAGAACCCTGCTGTCTCATGAGTTTTGATTTTGAAATAAAATAGCTCTACAGCCACTCGGAGCAGGTGCAGGAAAAAATAGCTCCTAGAGTTCTTAGCCTTAATGAATTAGTATATGAGTATTAGTAATTAAGTGGATTTTTGAGGCTAAACTTCTTTTGGGGTGCCAGGCATTGACGTATGGAGAAAAATAACGAGTGTGATTTTTTTATAATATAATTTTATTCCTACAAATTTTAAGGAAAGGTACTACGAGAGGTTTCCAGAGTCGCTAGATGGCTGATTGGATTTCAATAAGAAGTAAAAACAATTTATTCGATGTGTTAGGTGCTCTTCTTATATTAGGTGTTAGATTTTTAACTACTCAATTAGGAAGAGAAAGATTTTGATCGAAAGTAAAGTACTTAAAACATACAAAGATGCACATATCCCTTGTGGAGTTGAAGTACCATCAAAAGGGCATAGGGACAGGAAATAAATTTCCAGGCTTAGAAATAGTTCATGGTTTTTGCGTCTCATTCTCATCAGATTGCTGGTGCAACTAATTATTTAAAATTAAATTATCCAAAATTTTGTGAATTCTGTTAAAAAACATACCTGTTTATGATTAAGTGAAATATTCCATATGTAGTCGATGTTCAGGCCATCTTTGGTCGGGTCGAAGCTGAGCTGAAAATGTCAAAGTTAAACCTTATTTATTGAGATTATTTTCTCCATCTGTTTCAGTCACAACTTATGATTTAATTCAGCAGAATCACCATAAAGTCCATTTATTCAAAGCAGGCTGAAAATCAGCACTTTTTGAAGGACAATTTTATAAAAAGCAGTCTCCCTCTGTTACTGCACTTTCTGTAGATATGAAATGTAAAGAAGAAACGGGTAAATGAATGTTATTTTAAAAAGTATAATCGTAGGTGTTTACTTATGACGTCGCAGCGAAATACCACTCTCTGGTTAATCACGAATTCTCAGAAACTATAACATCTACAAACTTAAAATTTGGCAGGTAGGTTCCTTACAGGGTGTAGGTATCCGCTAAGAATTTAACGAAACTCCACCTCTAAGGGGTTAATACGGGGGGTTAATAAGGGGGTTTAATAAGTTTGTATGAAAGTCCTATGTTTTTGAAGTACAAGACTTAAATTGAACTCTCGTTGAATGGTATACTAATATTGTATCTTTAGAAATAACCCACCCCCTTTTGGGGTTAAAAAAGTATGTGCAAATAACTAATTAAGTCCACGCGTACGAAGTCGCGAGCGGCCGCTAGTACTGTAATAGATCAACTCAAAATTAAACTGTTGATTTTGAGTTGATTTGCTGTCCTTGAAATGATCCTCATTCTGTAGTATTGTGGCGATAAGAGGAGCTAGATGGCGCAAGTAGTAGATCAAAATTTTATTATGTCGAGTTCCTACATGCTTTAGAAGTTTGCCTGAATAGACATACAAAAAAAGAAGGCACGTTAAGAGTTGGTATCGGCTGCATTTACAGTTCTTAGCACCCACCATTTCATACCGTGGTGGCCGCAACTACCAGAGCAACTAAAATTGGCCGTTGCGGCCAAGCGCGTGCCGTTCGTATCGTATATTCGTGTTTCTTTAGTTAATCTGGGGGCCATTCGCCTAACGGAAATGCTTTGGAAAACGCTGACGCTTACGATTTTATATTTATTTTGTTATTTCTAGCCGCCTGAGGTTTTCAAATGCCTCGCGCTCTTTTTTTTCTTTTGCATTGGTAATAACAATATTAAAAAAAAATGAGCGTGAGGTATTTGAAAACTTTCGGCGGTCAGAAATAACAAAATAAAATCGAAAGCGTTAGCGTTTTCCAAAGCATTTCCGTTTTCCTTGGTCGTTAAGATCTCTGGCAATGGTCGTGGTCATCTAGAGCTCGAGGTGCCTTAATAGGCTGATGGTGCTGATGTTGTCTTTATCGCTACAACATCAGCACCATCATCTTACCTTAGCTACGGCAGTGTTGTTGGAATTTTCGATGGAATAGATTGCCCAAAGCCCGTTGTCGTCCGCACTGAAATCAACCTGGAAAATTTATCTTTTAATATTGATTCATCATGGTTCCACGTACTTTCTAGAGAGAAAAAGCAATCGCATGCTTCTAATACCTATGAACGGCTGGTGGCCTCCGTGACCGAGTGGTGTGAACTTAGAACATTTATGTGAACGCCGAATTTCAAGGTGTCGCGTCGCCTACTCAGAGGTCGAAACCCGGTGTGGCAAATTTTTGTATGATGAATACGAGCATTTGTGCCTAAAGCCATTGATGTTAATAGGTATTTATTATAAGTGTTTCAGTAGATATATGTATGTATTCTACCCGTTACCTTTGTATTCCATAACACAAGCCTTACAGTGCTTACTTTGGGGATATGGTAATTGGTGTGAGTTTTAGAAATATTTATTTATTTTATGAACTGCTAGATACTTCGTCTATCTCATAATTTTTTTGCCCGTGTTGACTTTACATATGAATCTTAACCAAACACATACCGCCTTATTAATAATTGCAGGCTAAGCTTGGATTAGTAACTGCATGTAGTGTGTCTGTTCAGCATTTGAGTTATATGATCAAAACACGGCGTAATTAGTCTAAGCTTATTCCTCGTTTGTTAATAAGGGGGTATGTGTTTGGTACGGACCATACACAAGGAATGGATTGAGCGATGTTCATTAAAGATAGAAAACGACAGCCTAGGCTATTTATATAGGGAAAGGATGCAAATTTGGAATACTACTTTAAAAAAAAACGTATTAAACATGGATGAAGAGATAAATAAGTGAACACTGCATGAAATGAACAAACCAAATTGATCTCCGCAAATGATAAAACGATGATACAAGTTGAAGAATTATATTTTTTTAATAAAAGCAGAAAATTAAGCTAACAGAAAGAAATAGGTAAATAGAACAGACAACGTCAAAAAACAACCAAAGAGTAAAAAACTACATCAGCTATCAAAATAGCAAAGAGGTCCGCAACATCCTCCCCCTCGTGCAGCTAAGCACAAACTGGTTATGCAAACCAAGGTCAGTCAAGGCCTTAGGTGGAGAGCCTAACTAGCTTTCGCACGGGTCGGCGTAGCATTCCTCCTGCTGTTGCAACGTCCACTACCCTTATTACGCCATCTTTCCCAGGGTACACTTTTGCAACACGTCCTCGTGGCCATGTTCCGCGGGGCAAGTTAAAGTCAGCAATAATTACTACGTCACCCTCTTGAAGAGCTGTTGAACTGCGGTTGGCTCTTGACTGCTCACGTGGTTGTAGGGTCGGGAGAACCTCTCGCATCCAACGCGACCAAAAATGATCCGCTAGCCTCAATGCTTTCCTCCATTCGGAACGGCTGACCAAATCGTGATCATTGAAGGCAGTAGGTAGGGTCTGCACGGACGAAGAACCGATTAAGAAATGAAATGGTGTGAGTGTTGTCGGGTCGTCAGGATCTGTAGATACATGAGTTAATGGACGTGAATTGACAATGGCTTCTGCCTCGGCTAGTAAACTGCTCAGGGTTTCTTCTTTTGGAGCTCGTTCGGTTAATGTTGCGTTCAGAGCCACCTTTACTGTTCGCACCAAGCGCTCCCAACATCCTCCAAAATTAGGTGCGGCAGGCGGGGTGAACTTCCAGAGTATTCCTTGAGTGCTTGTGAAATCTTCGACATTTTCTCCGTAGAACTCTCTGAGAATGCGATTGGCACCAACAAAGCAGGTTCCGTTGTCCGAGAAAATAGTGTTTGGAGAGCCCCGTCTTGCAATGAATCTTCTAATAGCCATGATAGCAGAGTCAGTCGATAGACTATGTACCATCTCTGGGTGAAGGGCTCTGACAGTTAAACAGGTGAAAAGGGCTACATAACGTTTTTCATGCCTGCGCCCGATAGTGACGCTTACGGGGCCGAAGTAGTCCAGGCCCGTAAAAGTAAAGGGCCGTCGATGGTGAGCTAATCTTTCAGGTGGCAGATCTCCTGTTTTCGGGTTCACCGGCAAGGTCTTTCTTATTCTGCAGAGTAGACACTGTTTTGCTACGGTTCTCACTGTGTTCCTCAGCCTTAACAACCAAAATTTTTGCCTTAATTCGTTCACGACTAGTTCATAATTTGCGTGACCCGCTTTTCGATGATAAAATTGTACCAATAAACGTACAATAGGCTAGTTAACCCTTTTTGGAAAAAGGTTTTAAATGGTTAATTAATGTTCTATTAGACCGAAAAAAAATGTATTGTATTTTTTTTAAACCTAGAAAGCTACAAATCTTTAATTTTAAAATAGACTTTTCATGGACATACAAAAACGCTGTCGGCCATTTTAGTCTATAGATTATCTATGCTATGACGTGAACTGTCGTAAACAAAAACTCGTAAACACGTAGAAAATTACTTTTAACTGAGTTTATAATAAACAAAAACATGATTTCTAATAAATACCACGAAAAATAAAGTAATTATCATTACTGTATTGTACGAGAATATAAAAATACAAAAGTTGTCGATTAAAGTGCCGAAAGAAATTAACCTACGCAACTTTATTACACTTATTCATATGTTGTATCAGTTTTATGTTTATTACTACATTGTAATACTAAATGCACTGTACTTACATAGATGCCTTGTCGTTTCTCTGCTCCGCAGAGCAGAAATCGGGGTTTAGTGCAACAAATTCACCAACCATCAATGCGTCAATTCTTGGCAGATTTGTGCTTTTGTGCTTTCACAAAGCCGGCATCCATAATTAGTTTTGTCAAAAAAAACTAAGTTTACTGTTTTTTTCTTTCCTAAAGTTAAAAGTGTTTTATGATAAATTTAGTCAGACGAAAGAATCCACCTACAGTAACACGCGAATGACATTTAGTTGTTTACCAGAAGAGACGTCAAAATCATGGCGGATGTGGCGAACAGCGTTTTTAGTGTTTAAAAAATTTAGACTAAAAAATATTTTTTAAAATTAAATTTCTACAGCAATCTTCTGCTTTTATGAAGTGAAATCGATATATTAAGGTTCCTTAGACTAAATACTTTAAGAAATAAACATTTATTTAATACAATTTGACATGAGTAAACTAGCCTATTGGGTGACGACCATCAAGAAGAATGGGGAAGCGTGTGTCAGGGTCAATGCCTTCTGCGGCTTTAATTCTTCCGGCTAACCGCAGTAATTTGTCCTCTCCCAAAGCGGGTGACAGTTTTCTGAGACGACTGTTCGGAGGAATAGGCTTCGAGTTCAGGATATGAAGAAATTCTATGGAAAAGCTCTCGAGCTGTGTTCGTTGCAGAATTTGCCTTTCAGCGGCCTTTATTAAATCCGCACTAAGAGGTGGTAGAGTAGTGGACGCTGAAGGATGGCGGGAACAAACAACTTCGCCTTTCAATTTGGAATTTCTAATGGAAGCCAAAATTACACCAAACTTTGCCGCAGCTTGAAGTACCCGGGCTGTGGCACGTAATAAGCGCTGCCAATTACTAAAATTATCAAAAATGGCTGTGACCGGAGTCGGTAACTCTTCGACAAAGGAAGTTAGACCAACCAACTCATAACTATTGGTCTTAAGTTCATCGGCGTTTGGTGAGGCATACCTTGGCTCTGTAGGCCAGCCCTCGACGGATTTTAAAAGAAAAGATGGACCGCGAAACCATCTGTGGGACGCGTCGAGGTTAATTGATCGCGTCCTGGTAGCGTCATCGGCAACATTCAAGTCTGTTGGTACCCATCGCCAGTCTCTAACGCAAGAGTTTTCAATAATTTCGCCTAAACGATGGGCAACAAAAGGCTTAAACGAGCGCGCGTCACTACGTAACCATTGAAGGACTGTCATGGAATCGGTCCAAAAGAAAGTACGTGCCGGTTGTTTTCTATGACTGTCCTTAATGGTAACCGCGAGACGAGAAGCTATTAAAGCGGCCTGGAGCTCTAAACGTGGGATATGACTGGTTTTAAGGGTGTAACTCTTGCCTTACTAGAGATGAGAGAAAGCTCGATGCTGCCGTCTGAGTACAAAAGGCGCCAATAAGCAACACATGCGTACGCGAGCTCACTTGCATCAGCAAAAACGTGTAACTCCCTCTGAGTTGGTTCAGAGTTTTTAGAGTTAGAATACCAACGCGGAATTTCCAAAGAGGTTACTTTTGACAACTCCTGAAACCAATCAGACCACCTTAATGCTTCCGTGGGTTGGAACTCGGTGTCCCAGTCGACATTAGACCTCCACGTTTGCTGAAATAAAATTCGACCCTTAACAACTATTGGAGCTAATAAGCCTAACGGGTCGTACACACGCATGAGGTGACAAAGAACTTTGCGTTTTGCGAGAGGGTTTGGAAATGTTCCACCTAAGCCTGAACGGAACCCTAAATTATCTGTTGTGGGATTCCACAATATTCCTAACGCTCTAATATTGTTTGCAGAGCAGCTGCCAAGATTGATTTCCAACGACGGTTGAGTGGCCCTAAGATCAGCAGGAATTAATTTTAGCGCTGATAGGTTGTTGGAAATCCAGCCCCGCATCTCGAAGCAGGCATCATTGTGAACAGCAACAATATCTGCCGCCAGTTGTGCTGCCTCCTGAATGTCATCGAGAGAGTCAATATAATCGTCCATATAATGATTGTACAAAATAGCATGAGCTGCTTTAGGAAATAAACTTTCGTGCTCACGAGCGTTTTTATTTTTAATAAATTGCGCTATAAAAGGGCTGCAACACGCACCGAACATGACGGCTGTCATCCTAAACTCTTTTATAGGTTGGTCTCTGCTTGACCTCCAGAGATACCGGAGGGCGTCCCTATCTTGCTCCCTGATCCTTACTTGAGGGAACATTTCCCGGATATCAGCAGTGAGAGCAATACGGCCCTCGCGAAACCGAAGTAAAATACCTAGCAAGGGCTGAAGCAGGTCTGGACCAGGTAGCAACAAAGAGTTCAGGCTGGCGCCCCCATTCGTGGCTGCGGCATCGTGAACTACGCGAAGCTTGCGCTTCTGAGGGTGGTACACGCCAAAATGGGGTAAATAGAGCCTCATAAAAGAAGATTGTTTATCTTTAATGTAGTTAGCGTAGTATGACTCAGGAGCGCATTCTTCTGCATAACCTTTTGTGATCATGTTTGAAATGAACACGTTGTATGTTTTTGCAAAGTCAGTGTCTTTAGCCATGCGCCTTTCTAGACTTAAAAATCGTGACATGGCTTGAGAGCAGCTGTCGGGAATGCGCTGTATATCGTCACGCCACGGCATACCAACCTCAAACCGACCAGAAGTGGGGAGACGTCTAGCAGTTTTTTCTAAAATCTCGACTGCACGTTTATCTGACTTAGAATGTAGAGTTTCTTTTTTAGAAATACCGAGCGAGTCAATTTTGTATTGTTCCCTAATAAGAGAGTCTAATTTCTCCTCATCGGAAGGTTCGATACACACACTGTGATTAACAAATTCCACTAATTTAGTTTTACTGGTCGCGATTCCATAAAGCACCCAGCCTAAGGCAGTTAAACAGGCAACGGGTTCATTCTTACCACCACACTTTACTTCGCTGCTGATTGACAAATGCCAATGCTCTGCCCCAATTAAAACTGTTGGAGTAGCTTCTTCGTAAGTTACGTTGCAAGGTAAATCCGCTAAATGTGCGAAAGAAGCAATAGTTTCCTGCCTAATTGTTTGAGGACGCAGAGACAAAGACTCCATAGCTCTCGCATTTTTCACTAAAAATGTGTCTCGTGTGTGCCTACCTTTAATTTGAAAATCTACATACGATATCGTAGCGTTTCTACTAAGACCGCCTATACCATTGACCGTTATTTTCTGGTGAGGCCCTGTCGCACCGATTTGAGCAGCAATACTTGAGTCAATGAGCGTAGCAGTGCTACCGTCATCGAGAAGTGCGTAAACATTGCAACTTCCTGAGGGACCAGAGACAGTAACGGGTAAGATTTTCAAAAATACACGTGGGCACAGAGTTAAAATGGAGCTGGGTTCTTGAACACCTGTAGAAATGGTAGAAACTATTACCTTTTCGACAGATGCAGGTTCGTGGTGTGTAGTCGCATGATCATTTTCGGTGGATTGCGTGTCGAACGTAGTATTGACAGAAGAGGCGGGTTGTTTACCATGCAATAACGGGTGATGACGTATTAGACACCCATCGACACCACAAGGGTTAACTTTACATGTTTTCCACTGATGTGCACTACGCCTAAGACATCTATAACACGCTTTTACCTCACGCAGCCAGACCCACCTTTCATCAACAGATAAGGCTATGAACTCAGAACATGACTTAATATTGTGATCTTTATTGCAAAACGCGCATTCAGACTTTTGTGTAGACACCACCTTAGAATTTGGTTTTGAGTGTGTAACTATGTGAATATTTTCTCGTTTATACGGTTTGTTTAGTTGAGAGTTTTGTTGTGAATGTTGGATCGAACAAGATTCCGGTGATAAACCGAACCGAATAAGCTGATCTAACTCGCGCCTCAAAAAATCGGAAATAATCTCTAATTTAGGACGCCCTGTAGTATCTTGCATAGCAAAGTCCGTCCATCTTACTTTAGTAACCGGGTTTAATTTTCCTAAGACGGCGTGAAATAGTTCTGGAGAGTGCAAGTACTCAACTTGTTTCAGTATTTTAAAAGAAGATATAGAATTACGTACCTTATTCGTTATCGTAATTAATTCTTCCAAGTCATTTCCTAAGCGTGGTAGATTTTTTAGAGCGGACACTTTCTTAAATACTATAATTTCCGGGCGAGCGAAGTTCTCCTCCAGAGCTCTTATAATATCGTTCGGGTCGTCTGTAGCCAGCAACAGTGACGCGACTGCATCTCGACCCGCGCCGCGAAGTGCATTTTGTAATCGACTAATATTTTCTATATCTATATAAAAATACGCTTAAAATGTAACCATGTTAAGGCGTCTCCGTCGAAAGGAAACAATTCGATCTTATGTTTATGACGGTGCGAAGTAGCAAGCGCCTTGGCCGCAGCTGCAGTGTCAGCAACAGCCTGAAGCAGACTACTCTGATCAAGCTCCGTAGAAATGAGCGGTCGCGTAAGCACGGCCGCCTCGGATGCTTTAGTGACGTTTAAAAGTTGCTTCTGATGAACAAAACGGTTAATAGGGGATGCAGTTGACCCAGTGGCCGGCAGAGGTGCCTGGTGGCCGGGAGGCGGAACCACTACTTGCTCGCGCCCTACTGCGGGGATGCCTCTATTAATTGTATTTTCGCCGACGCAAACTTGCTGTCCTAAACTTTGTACCCATCTTTCTGTTCTTTCAACGCTTACCCTGGTAGAACCACTGCGACTGGTGCGACTTGCCGCGGCTTCCGCGTCGAGAGCGGCAAGTTCGGCCTGCAGTTCGCCCTCCTCTACCTGCTGACGGAGTGCTGCCAGTCGACTTTCACGTTGCCTCTCGCGTTCGGCCAGCTGCAGTTCACGTTGCCTCTCACTTTCAGCGAGCTCCTGCTCATGCTCAAACCGTCGGCGCAGGGCGAGGGCCTCTACGGCGGCCTTTTGAGCCTTAATTGTGGACGACGAGCGTGATGATTTTGACTTAGACGTCTCACTCGGGGCAACGCTGTCTACATGTTTGGAAGTACTAGGTTGCATAATATTATCTTGCACACCAGTACTAGTCGCAGGGTTTGTCGGCATGATTTTACTTTTACTGCGGGTGATCATTAAGTGAGAAATAAAAATTAAATAAAGCAGTGCAAATGAAAACAAATAATACGAAATGAATGAATAACTAAAGTTACGTAATGAAAAATAGGTACGCTGGAAATTACTGGAGAAGGACCAAAATGAAATGAACAAACCAAATTGATCTCCGCAAATGATAAAACGATGATACAAGTTGAAGAATTATATTTTTTTAATAAAAGCAGAAAATTAAGCTAACAGAAAGAAATAGGTAAATAGAACAGACAACGTCAAAAAACAACCAAAGAGTAAAAAAACTACATCAGCTATCAAAATAGCAAAGAGGTCCGCAACACTGCATTTAATGGTAGAACTTATATTTTATTCAAGTTAAAGTAATTGACAACCTTGGATTATCACAAGTAGGATCAATTGTAAGGAATTACAGATTAGCGTAGTTTAACCAAAGTGATTATAATTTGGAATAGGGTATTTAAATTTATAATCACCTAATGGTTAACCTGAAATACCTATTTATTTGGCTTTAAATTAAAGCATTTCAATTTAAAAAAATAACTATAAGCTTATATTAAAACAATTATATTTTTCTAGACTGCAATAGTCATAAACGTAACAACCAGAGTCATAGCCTATTGTATTCCAAATCAGCAAACATAGCCAATTCTAACCTAAAAGTTCTTTGTAAATTTGTGTTTCGATTAATTTCTAAAATAAGTGTTGATTTCAACAACTGATATAGTAGACTTAAGATTTGTACAAATATAAACACATAAATATAAGTCACACTCAAGATGCAAGCCGATTTATTACTGTCTTGGATTTTTTTCTCGTCAGCACTTTCACTCCGATGAAGTTTGTCACGGAACTGTCAATATGGCTGCTTCTTAGCCACCTCAATTTTGTTTCCTAACACATAGACTACGTAAAACTGGTATACGTTAAAACATGGCGCTTTAGTATATTTGTATATTGCAGTATTCCAAATTAGCATCCTTTCCTCTACATAGTATTGGTTGCACGGTCGTTTTGTCTCCCTCGTACTAATCTGCCCAAATTTACTTTAAATTACGCTCAGTTCATTCTCTTTAACTGTTTTGTATTTATTTAAGAGCTTGATCCTTATCCATCATCGCTCATTAAATTCAACGGAGCACCCATACAAGGGCAGCCTGTTGTGCCAAGCGTATGTTGTATTACGCATAAGCGTGTAACCCCCCCAGACGTCGACCAAGAACGATTTATTTATCATTTCACTATATTTGCCATCCAACCGTCACGTCATACTAATGTGTCCGTTCAAAACGTACCCTTGCCGTTCATCGTCAATAGGGATGACGGGGTACAGTAAACGAAATTTTATTCAGTCCGTCAGTTAGATGATCAAAAAATAATGGACAAGTATTTTTTCTTTGGGCAATCAACCAAAAAATGACAAAGTTATAGTGCTTTAAAGTTTGGGAGTAGGGGCTCGTGACGTCATTTTTTATTGAATTTTCACTTAAAAGTGTACTCAAACGTGACGTCATGCGACTTTTCAAATGAATATATCTCTGCAATGTTTATATTATGTGAAAAAAGAAAAAATACGTGTCCAACACTTTTTGATAATGTACCTGATAAACGAAGAAAAAAAAATTAGTCATCATCCCTATTCTATACGGTACGGACCTGGTTGTGCTGCGAGGAGTATAGCCGGCCGGCAGCGTGCGGCAGGTGCACGGACTTGATGCGGCTCTGCGTGAGATCGTACCGGATGATCTCGCCCGGGTGTCCCGACTCGTTCGCCTGGTAGAAGAACGACCCACCGTACACGATGTGACCATTGCCCTGGAATAATAAATCTTTTCATCGTCATTATCAGCAGCATAATTATAAATATTCCGGGATTATCATAATCATCATCATATTATTGTCCCCAGTATCAGGGCAGAGGCCTTCTCTATGATTGGAATAGGGAACCACCATACACGATGTGGGCGTAAGTATTCCTTTAGAATCATCATCATCAGTAGTCTTACTTTGTTCTAACCGCTAGGGCCTTACCTATGGAGCCGGAACCCATACACAATTTTATTGGGACTTCTTGAAACTTCCGGAACTAATGGCTTTTCATTATCTTTGAAGCTTGTGCTCTACAAGGGTCTATGGTATAACGATCGAGTCAAAATATGTTGTAGGGTCTATTAAAACATCACTGCAAATATACACATGCAACATTACGAGAAGTCCTGGTAAATACTGCGCAGAATCGATCTAGTTCAGACTCGAATTTTCGTTATTGAAACACATTACAGTATTATTTAATTTCAAGGATAGTTTACAAATATACTCCTGCAGGGCCGTTACTAAAGATTTAATTCCCACAAAATCTATAAAGCACATTAAATACATGGATAACATAGATTAGCTTTTTTTAGCTTTTGCATGAGCCATTCTCACTTTACCTATCTAAACCCCGTTCCAGTACTCTGTGGAGTTCTAGACAATCATGTAGTAGGGAGCCCAAGCAGAGGCATTGGGATTTACACGAGCGCTGCAGAATAACATAAGGGGAGAAACCTTGCACCATGTGAAGTAGGTATGGTAGGAGTACTACAATTAATAATATCACTACTTCATCATTCTACTCACATAGAAAGGTTTCTGTAGCTTGTGGAACTCGTCGACGTGATCTGCTTTGAATGAAGTCTTGCTTTTGTACTCCCGCAGTCGTTCTATGTCATTCTCCTGCGTGGTCCACAGCTTTTCTCTCTATAATGAATACTTAATTTGGTGAAACAAATTTAACAAAGCTTTTCCCTACTTCATTGTATATTTTTTTATCATCATCATGAAACTTTCTTAACCACACTGCTGCGAGGCTGCGACACAATTATTTCCAGTGGATGAAATCTTAAATGAGGAGTGGGTTGTCATCCACCACGAGGAATCAATGTGAACAAGTGGTAAGGTAATTGACGACTGCAGATGCATACGAAATTAACGTGCCTTTGAAAAGACTGTTGAGCTCAAGATAATTAATTAGCCCTATTGGCTTGGACGAAAAAAAACTTACCTAATAGGCATGTAACATTTCTATAATATATAATGGAATAAACTTTTATGGTTTACTTATTTCTCCTCAACAAGCTTTTCAATAAAAAAAGGCGTAAGTATTGGATACATTTTACCCAAAAAATACATAAAGGCAAAAACGCATTATACTTGCTTATATCAGCAAAAATGTTCGGTATCCCGAATTCGTTATTGCTTATAGTAGGCACTTAGGTACCTACTTAAAAATATTTTTATTTTTTATCATTCATCATACGAACTAATTGCATTGTATTTAAAAATATTTTTAATACCTGGCTATCGCTGGCATCGGAGTCTCTTAACCAAGCGCCAAAAAGCTCTTCCTTGTATCGGTGATATACCGGTTTTCCTATCGCGTAGAGCTGACAATCTAAAATTAACAATTTCGTAGTTAAACAAAAAGGTTAAAAAATCCAATCTCGTAGTAGTCCATTGTTCTTAAAAGTGTGGCGGTGTCATCTACATTCCGCACTTATACCAAAAGGATAATCAAATCACAGGATAGAAAGACTACTCTGCGCTAACGAATTTGGAGCAGATGCAACCGTATGACAATACAATGCCCGACCAACATCAGTCGGGCCGTGGCCCCCGAGCTAACATCACCCAGCTCGGTGGAAGATCTTTCCCTTTGGCCTTCCAACAAACAACGAAGGAATTGTTTCTTCATTCTTTCTTTCTAGAGAGTTGTCAATTTCGTGCGAGTATCGACCAGTTTATCCTTTATATCTATGAACAAATCTCACTGGTATTCCTCCTGGGCTTATGACCAGCGGTGCCGTTGATGGGCGTGATGAGCAGTTGCGCGCGGTCGCAGCGCGGGCACGAGGGGCAGCGTTGCACCTGACACAGTTCTTCGTACGATGTGAGGAGGGGCGGACGGGAACCGAACTCCATCGGCTGCTGGGCGGTCATATGATGATTGGGGCCTGGGTCTGAGAAAAATAAAGTTTTGTCTTATAGTAGTCATCGTCATCAACATAAGCAGCCACACCACCTTCAACTGGCCGGCATGCGAAACCTCTTCGTCACTTCGCGCCTATTCTGTTTGAAGAACCTCGAGTTGCGGTAAGAAGGGGAACAATTTCAAATAAATACGACTAAGAAAATGAGTCATCAATGTTAAAATGTTTTATTTGATGAGTCATCAAATTTCTTAATTCCCGTTTAAACAAATCAAGATTTGAGTTGCATGTTTTGCCTATGTCTCTTATTAAAGAAAGGTCCATTGTTTCTAAGATCTCAGGTTTGGAACTCCAGTTTTAAAATTATTTTTAAAAGTTTATGTACTTAGTAGAACTTCAGGAAGTTTCCCCATGGCCTAACGCCAATTTTGTATAGTAAGAAATATTATTACACAACTCACAAGCCAGTTTGATGTGTCCCATGACAGTCTGATTGTTTAACTCGTTCTTCGCCACGCAGCTGTACTGTCGAAGGTCGTGGTCTCTGACGCCTGGTACCTCCAGCCGCATGATCCATCGCCAAGGATCCGCTGTGGTAGCAACCTCGGTGCGGTACCGAGGGCCTTCCAGTGTGATGTCGTTACTTTGCCACGCTAATACTGGTTCGGGCCATGCTTGCACCTGAATAGAGAAGATGAATTTTTGGGACCAGGCATTATACAGCATCATAATAGTACGGACAGATTTAAGAGATCCTTTATGCGGTCTCTCTTGTTGGATAAGGATCAAATATCCGATTAGAACTTAGAATAGAAAACAAGGACCGTGCATCGACAGTCAGGCGGGATACTTTTTAGAAAGTTGAGAGGCTGGAAAACTGCTATATCTGATTTAATAGATTACTTAGATGCTAGCTAAGGCTAGTGCGGTGCTTAAAATTTTATCGTTAAAAAAATACTTTAAAGAAGTGCGAATTTAAAGTGTATGGCTTAATAAAGAATAAAAAAAAAAAAAAGTTTCTATCATATTACTCAATGTGGAAAGGGTTTCAGAGTTTATTTCTGAATTAAAATTGGATAACTCAAAATTATTAGTCTTGAACTATATTATTAGGATATACAAATTCTAAGGACCTAAACTTAGTTTGAAGTAAACATATTTTTTATACTTTATAAGAAGTTCAATTAGTAAATGACTCACTTCACACTCGATTTTTGCAGTTTTGTTGTACACGTAGACGACATTATTCGGCACGCGGATGTAAGGACTAACTGAAACAAATATGTATAACTTTTTATTAAAAGCACTAAAAGAGCTTTAATGATTTTGTGGACTGATCAGCAATTGTTTCATATATTTTTTATACAAGTTACAGGAAAATACCTAATACCACTAGATTCAAACTGTAAATGGAGTCCGTGAAGACAGCTAATGTGGCGGCACCAGGTCTTCCGAACAAGAGGATTAGGTTCTGAATGATTAGGCAAGGGATTCAACACCATAAAAAAATGTGTTTTTATACTGTAGTCTTCAGTAAGGTTCAGGTATGTAGCGGATCATCCAGCTATGTCAACTCTTGTATCGCTTTAATCCAGTGGAAAGTAGTTTGTCGGTGACATCTATATGCCCCACATATATACAATGGATGGAGTGAATCATTACTTACCATCCTCAAGAGATGGCGTTACCTGCACTGCGATCATAATAGTATGGAAGCCTACATCGCGCAAATGAAATTCGGAGGCTAACTCTTCATATATACGATGCCCGACCAACATCAGTCGGGCCGCGGCCCCCGAGCTAACATCACCCAGCTCGGAGGAAGATCTTCCCCTTTGGCCTTCCTACAGTAGTCATAATTTGAAAATCAGACGACATCAACTGGTGTTAAGTGAAAGTGAAATCTAGTTGCGAATTGAGCTGCTAACTCTTCTGAGAGTCGATATATCGTGATAATCGTCGTCGTTCAACCTCTCTAATTTACACATGACATTAAGAAGTTTACGATAGATCAATTAAAGATTTCAAGAGTGCAGCTGTAAAGCTCCAGGAGAGTGTTATTTGGCTTATGTATTCCGTGAAGGGGGTTTTAAAGCAGTTCTGATTCCACAGAAGCTTACTTTCCTCTTGTGTAGTCTAGTATGGATGACATGTATATATGTATTCTTTCCGTTATCCTAGCATCCCATAACACGAGCTTTTACAGTGCTTACTTTGGGGCTAGGCTAATTGGTGTGAGCGTTGGAAATATTTATTTATTTAGTCTTGTATGGATGACATAGATGTAGGATGTAGATTAGATACTAACAATTCACTTTGACATCGATGGTCGTTCGCCAGGCACACGTAGTATGCCAGTGAGAAACATCCGGGCTGTTGAGCTCTCACTGATGTGTCGCGTTGGTATGTAGATCAGAAACTTTATACCAGCTTTATACTAACAGTGTACTTCAACATCGGTGGTCTGGTTCGCGGATGGCAGCATGCCGTTGTTGGCTAGGCACACGTACTTGCCAGTGTGCCAGCGAGACACGTTCGGGATGTTGAGGAGTTGGCCGCTCACTGACGCGTCCCGCCATGAACCCTGATTAGGGGCATTGTAAGGTATGGTTATAATGTTATAAGGATGATGTTCTAAGTGTTTTAGATTAAACGTAGCAATTATTACACCATTTGATGTTAAATGTAGGCACCTAAGTAGAGACCAGTTGAGAAGATGACTTGATGATAGATAATGCAAATATCATTAGAAGTGGTTAATACATGAAGCTCTTGCGAATACCCGGCGTATGCTAATCTCAAATAGAAAAAACGGATCCTTTATAGAATCCGATTGTTGTCCGACTGTCTGTTTGTCACGACTCTTTATTTCGGAACGCGTGAAGGTATCGAATTTAAATTTGAAACAAAAAAGAAATACGGTCGCGGCAGCTAGGGGGTGCAATATAGGGCATGAACTATCTTAAAACGGCGTGGCAGAAGTCATAACAAGGCAAGGAGTTACAAACCTATATTTTGATTTGATTTACCATTTCTTTTAAAACATTATAAGTGAGGGCGCCAGATTTTTAAATCCTGCTGCTTTCTTTATACCCTTTTAATTGCCTATCTACTTGTAATGACGCTGTCCCATCTGAAATACAATTCTGGCTACGGCCCTGATGCTGTGTACTTTCAAATTTGTACGGAAATATACGTGTAATTTCAAGTCCGCACTGGCGCGAGTCCGATTTTTTCATTATAGAACACCACCAATGACCTTCTATTATATAAGTTACTGAAGCCACCCCTTGTTAAGGTTTTATTACTTAACGGTCTAAAACTCAAAACCATCGTCACGTTATTGCATTTGAACTGACACCGGTTTGGGGTATATCGGTTAGATGGTTTCATAGTCTGCTTTATATTAAGATTTTATATATAATACGATTCAAATAAGAATAGGAAAGCCTATGACCTCTATTTGTCAAATGTCGCTTGAAGTACGGTTTGCAGAAAAAACTTGAAAGCCTTTTTTAGCACTCCGCTAATTCAAGAATAAAAACCGAATATTTGTAAACAAATATTGATAATTAATATCGATTGATATTTTTTTTTACTTATTGAGCTTTGGCCATGAATGGTTGATAACCTAAATCGTCAACCAAATGTCACTTTAAGTTGCGTTCAGAAACTCGATCTCAAACTTTCGTTTACATAAAGGATGCATGTTCGTATGTGACCTAGTAATAGTGCATGATTATTCATAACTATCGGCGGTAATGCAGAGATGAGCGGAATAGAAGAGCTATATTCTGATTAATGTTTTTTCTCACAGTCTGAATAAATATATATTTTTAAAAATCGGTGTTTTTTTTTCTCAATCTTAGTAAATAAATGGTATTAAATATAAACTTTTTTATGCTCACTCTACTTATTTGGTTTGAATTGACAGCTATGACATCACAATATGGCGCCCAGTCGGTCCTATTCTTAGTTGAATCGCAATATATGTACCTGTATGACAGCTGTGCCATCGGCTCGTCTCCATTCCACCGTGGGCTCGGGCTTCCCCATCGGGTTGCAGCTGATCCGGAGGGTATCACCTTCCCGGACTATCACTCTAGTGTGGTCCTCTGTAAACGTTAGCAAAACCGACTGATATAATATACCTATATGCGATTAGGTCTACGGCTATAAAAGTTAAGCAACTTTTAAAACTGCTGGTCGTCGGATAGATCACAGAAAACAGAAAGAGGTTAAAAGGGTGATAATATGTATACCGTTTGTACGGGAACCGATGTTGCCGGCACGCCCCCACTACACTTCCACACAATAGATAGTAGCCAATCAAACGAACCAATCGGAACTCACACCCGAGAGCAATGACACAATCAGTTTTGGTCAAATTATGTGCATTTGCTCACACATAACTAAAGCGAGCCTGCGCCGACCACAAGGCCCTTCTAACCTTTTTCTGTGTTCTGTGGGATAGATGACCAATTTTGTTATCTCGAATAACTTAACATACTAGGCCCTCGTTCTCCCAGACGCGGTGACGTCCCTCAACGGGAATATCGCGGTCCCGAACTTAACAGCGTACAGGGTATTCGCAGGCTTTTTAGCGGAAAGTGTGCCGTAGGCGCTCGTAAGCCGCGCGGACTGCTTAACGGCTTCTCCGTTTCGCACCCGTGAGACTTGCGAGAGGTTAGGTGTGATTTCCATTCGTTGTTGTGCCCCTTAAGGGCGCCAACGTCCTTAAATAGAGGTTTTGCCTGCGTAATAAAAAAAGGTCCTCATACTCCCGACGATGACGTGTTGAATGTTACATTATATACGAACCCTAACGAAGCCACTTTTTTTAGGTTGTCGCCACAATAGTGATCGATCCCCCGTCTGTCATATAAGGTTTCGTAAAAAGCTTGCGGTGAACAGATTTTTATAGTCAAACTGACTCAGAAAAATCAACAGTTGCCGCATATTTATGTACCTACTAGTGGCCCGCCCACGCTTGGTTTCGGGGTAGAATTGATCAAAATCCTTTCTTAACGGATGCCTACGTCATAACATCTACCTGCATGCCAAATTTCAGGTCGATCCGTCCAGTAGTTTAGGATTTGCGTTGATAGATCACTATGTCAGTCAGTCACCTTTGAGTTTTATATTAGATTTTAGTCGTTAGTATATACTAGTTAGAGGATTATCGTTTTTGTGGCTTCTAAATTCTATTAAATTTACTGCCACGTTGTGCTTCGTAAAGTTAAGAATTTCTTACCTTTATCCATAGATTATACAAAAATTTATTGAATAAAACTAAAGAACATTTTGCTAGAAAAAGTTCCACCCGGACCAAGCAGCGGACGAGACGGTAAACATCTAGCAGTTACATGCTTAAAAATAAAAAAATATAAGACCACTGGAGACCGCAGAGATAAGCCTCGCAATTCAGCGGGGAAATGCCGCCAGCGTCCTGGGAACCTTTGCCGACGGGGAAGACTTAGGGCTGCTATTTTTTTAATATTTGTCTAGTTTTAGTGTAGTTTTAGTTTAATATTTGCCATGTTACTTATTTATAGTATATTATGTAATATAAATTAATAACGACGTAAAAATATAAGTTATTGTATATTTCATTTAGAGATAAAAGTTCTTACGTGCAAAAGTGGGGGGTATGAACAGTTCCTTCTCTTTGGTGTAGTTGTAAATGGAGAGTCCCGGACGACCAGGGGACCCGTCCCTTCCGTCGTTGCCCCGCTGACCCTTCGGTCCTACTGGTCCTCGGTCGCCTTTAGGTCCTCTTATACCGGATGGCCCTGGAGCGCCTGCTCTCCCTACAAATGTTATAAAAGTGTTACTGGTATAATATTTTTGATAGATTTAGCAGTATTAAAGTTAAATAAATTGTTAATATGTTTTAGAGAAAATTCTTAAAATAATGTGTGTACCATATTATTAAAGAAACCCTGTTACGCAGCGTATTTATTTACTATAATTAATGTATAAAGGGAAATTGACGACCTCCGTGGTCGAGTGGTTTGTACGCCGGGTTTCATGGTGTCACCGACTCGAGAGGTTCCGGGTTCGAATCTCGGTGGGGGCAGATGTTAGTGTGATGAATACGAGCATTTGTACTCCAGTCATGGATGTTTAATATGTATTTCTATATAAATATACTTATATGTACAGTATTCTATCCGTTGCCCTAGCATCCCATAACACAAGCCTTATAGTGCCTACTTTGGGGCCAGGCTAATTGGTGTGAGTGTAAAAAAAAATACCAAATCAGGTGGCGTTAATATTTACTTAACAAAATTTTAAAGAATTATCTTCAACTTATTCTGCATTAGCAGATTAATAAGAATTCTAACGTTAACCACAGCAGTAACAAATATTTCAAAATACCTTACCATCTTTACCATCCTTCCCATTTTTGCCCGGGCTGCCATCCTTTCCGGGAATGCCGTCACGACCGTCTTTACCCGGAGCACCATCCGCTCCATTCCTTCCTGAGACACCGTCCAAACCAGGTTCACCTGGGACACCGTCTCTGCCGTCCAAGCCAGCGTTACCAGGAAAACCACGTTCACCTGATCAAAATAAAGGCCAAATAAGTACAACAATGCCAATTCTCATGCGGATGTGTGGGCGTGGGGTTAGTACTTGCGACTTTAATATTTATTTAATATTATTTATTATCAATCTTAAAAACTTTAATTATTTATGTATCTCAGTTTATGTATTTTTACACCAGTGTATAATTTATATGTCTGTCTCTAGCAATCTCGTACAGGCCCTGCCAGAATACAAGCGCTGTTATGGTGGGAACAGTCCCTTCCTTCTATAACAGCCCTCTTTCTGTGTTCTGTGATAACAGCATTAAGCTGAGGCAGGGTCCTGATTGGCCATTCTTCTCTCTCCATATTGTTGCTCTCTGTTTGTCTTTTATTTTTTACTTGCGTATGAGTAACGTCATAAATACTGTCAATAGTGTTTTATCCTGAGGTTTTACTCAAAGCAAAATTTATTTCTGCAAATTTTTGGTTTAATAAAATGACTGCAGAGAAATGTTGCTAGGCTCACTTCACAAGGATTCAAAAGTAGTTGACATGAGACTTGGCAACATTTGTACATTGATGTTCTCTTGAAGCACAGGACCCACAAGTCATTAGGTAAGTAGCAATCTTACGTAAAGAAACGGATTATTTCCTCGTTTGTGATTCGTGATGTAAGTGTCGCCGCACACGGGCCACACGCCAAAGTCACAAACGCCGCCACGCGAAGCTAGAAGCGGCTACTAAAGTGGCTGAAGTGCGTGACAGCGGCCGACTAAGCTAAGGAGAGAGGGGTGGGGAATCGCGCGAGTGACGTGTGGGTGCGTTTTGTATCGGCGCATTAAGTGGCCGGTGCGGGCCACAAGAAGCGAGCAACGACAATTTGTAGCGTGTGGCGGCTACCGGCGTACCGTGTGTGGCGAGTCCATATAAAATGTATGAAAACTACAAGAAATATGCCGGTGGCGGCGTTTTGTGGTTGTGGTCGGTGGCCCGTGTGCGGCGACACTAAATATTCTTTGTGCTATGAAAAAAAGTCACGTTTTTCTTAAATAAACTAACCTTTCGGTCCTGGTGGTCCTACTGGCCCTCTTGATCCCGAGTGCCCCGGAGTTCCTGGAGCTCCCGGTTCGCCCCTATCTCCTTTGGGTCCAGGAGAACCATTCGGTCCCTTTGGTCCTTGAACTCCAGGTGGGCAGTAGTCTTGCGTTGCTTTGCAGAACCCTTGCACTACCTTATACTAAACAAAAGATGACATCTCTAACTGAGCATTTTCCACCATTTTATCTCAAAATATAACTTTTATAAGTGTTAATAGTGGTGTTAATATTGCTCTAGTCGTTAAGACGACAAAAGTATGACATTGTACAACAAATAACCTGGGATCAGTGATCCACCTTAGGTATTGCAACAGAGCTATTAATCACCCTCCTTAGAAACAAAACGATCTAAGTAAAAATATTGATCGGTAATTTGAATTTGTAGCAAAATCGGAAGTCACTAAAAATTTCAGGATATCGAATAAATTTAAGTCATTTGCACTTACTGGAACCCTAGAATAGCTGGTGAGCCACACCCAAGTATCACCCCCAGGGGCAGGTCCTTTGGCACCCGTCCTTCGCATTTCAGCTTCATCTTTCTCTTCCAACTCAGGCCGCATTTTGGGGTTGAAAAATTCTACATGGGGTGTTACCGCATTGTCCTCTTGGATCGCCGAAGGTTTCTGTTAATGAATAGTTTAAGACAGATATTCAAACGAAATTTAACAAGAAAAAACAACGCGGTCCTGGCAGCAGACGGGATTCGAACCCTCACCAGCGATGCGCTGATCAATGATGCTACCGCGACCTTGGTCGTGTTGAATTACTTCTGTATTTTGAGGGTGCAAGGCACCAGTAACTGCTTAAAAATAAAAATTTAATAAACAGATATCTTTTTTAATGAACAGAGAATAGTTGCTTATTCTAAAATGGCGAAACGTAATTACTTAATATAAATCAGTAAAAAGTATCAAATCAGAAATCAGAAATCAATATATCTTTATTCAAATTGGATGTATAGTACAACACTTTTGAATCGTCCAAACATTTTTTTTCCCTACCACTCGTTATTGGACATATTTTTTAGCTGCGGAGAAAAACGAGCGAAAAAAACTCCACAACATTAAAAGAATAATGTAACAACATTTACAAATCATTATGTTGTTACAACGTCAATACAATGATTTATTTAATATAGAACACCTGTTGGAATGATTGGAACAGTTCAAACCCAATCATTTTTGTCTGTAATATAATCAGACACTTTGTAATAAGCTTTTGTTTAATAAGTGCTTTTTTTATACTATCTTTGAATTTATTTATGCTTAACTCTTGGATATTGCTTGGGACTTTATTGTATAAGCGAACACAAAGACCTTTAAATGAATTATTGATTTTGTGAAGCCTAGTAGCAGGTAAAGTTAGTTTATTTTTGTTTCTTGTATTAAGTCTGTGAACATCACTGTTTTTAAGAAACAAATTTATATTTGTTCTTATGAGTAATAAATTTTCGTAAATGTATTGTGATGCGACCGTCATTATACCAAATTCTTTAAACCTATCTCTTAAGGAATCCTTAACTTTAAGATTATAAATTGATCGAATAGCTCTCTTCTGCAGCACAAAAATAGTTTGAATGTCGGCGGCGTTTCCCCACAATAAAATTCCGTACGACATTACACTATGGAAATCACTAAAGTATACTAATCTGGCCGTATCTACATCCGTTAACTGGCGTATCTTCATTACGGCATATGCTGCAGAGCTAAGTCTATTTGACAATTTATCAATATGTGGGCCCCATTGAAGCTTAGAATCTAAAGTAATCCCTAAGAATACTGTGGTGTCTACAAGGCCCATATTCCTATCCTTTACATTTACACTGGTTTTTACCTGTTTTACATTAGGTAATACAAATTTCATACATTTCGTTTTTCCTTCATTTAGTAATAAATTATTAACATTAAACCAGTGGACTACCTTAGAGGTACAACTGTTCACGTCGTCAATAACTGTTTCCTTACGTTTGAGTATAAAAGTGATGTATCATCCGCGAACAATACTATCTCATGCTTATCTCTAACGTAGTAAGGCAAGTCATTATATTAGTATATTCAGGTATACAATGGGAAAGATGGTGATTCTTAAAAAATGACAAAAAATATATATATATGTGTATGAGCAGACTATCTACAACTTTCTATTTAACGATGTTATGTTTATTTAAAAGGTAATATTTTTATATATCTTATTATACAAATATCATAGGAACATTTGTAAATTTTATATTAAGGTTTATCTTAAAAAAAATAAGATATTTTTATTATATATGAGTACCACTTTTAAGACTTACCAACATAGCTTCCCTTTTGATCCTGTGCGACGAAAGACCAGTGACATCTGATAAATACGTTTCTAACTTTTCCTCGAGTTCATTTTCCAGTACATTTCTAATGGCATCTCTGTTTCTACGATCTAAACAAGTATTTGAATCTACAAACCCTATATTAAAAATCTGTACTACTAAAGATATAATCGCACAAACAGTTGCCAATAACGAAAGTTTACAACACGCCACAGGCGCAACGTCTCCCAATTTCTTTTTACTTGTATTAGCCATGTCTTCATATTCTTCTAAAGGTACACTACTCGAAACCTCATCAACACTGTCACTTATTTCATTTCTCTATTCAATACCATCATCACTACAGAAGTTAACTTTCATAGTTTGTCGTTATTATTGTGAATAATATTTTCTACATCGGGACGTTATCTCGACATAATCCGCAGCAATGCGCTCCTTCCTGTGTGCCTGACTGTTTCACAACGGGCACTGCTCCGATAACAATTGGGCCTCAACTATTACAGTCGATTCAATCAAGCAATCGACAGCATACGCCAGACCAGTGACTGACTGGCTGGTATGTACCCGAATAGCTTCTTGGTAAGTAACTCAAGTACTATGAAATAGTAAAGACTTTACATCTTTTAGATTTTTATGTTTTAGCATTAGGTTCTGATACTATAATGTTATATTTATCCTAATAGAAATGAAGTCGTTGTAAGAAAATAACTACAACATAGTGTTTAAATTATTCCATATATATATAGATCTTGCTTTACCATGTACCTTTTATTATTAACTAGCAACCTGCCCCAGCATTGCTTGGATGAAATTTAGTGGGACTTAATAAAATGACACTGATAAATAATCTAGCTTTCTACCGGTGAAAGAATTATGAAAATCAGTCAGTAGTTCCAGATATTACTATAAACAAACAAACTTTACCTCGTCATACGGTTTATTGTCGCACTTTTCAAATATTAATTACTGAAATACTCTTATCCCAAAATAGCTTTAAGTAACGTATGGCTATTATAAATTTACTTAAATTACTCTAGAATGCAATGCGTTTAACGTGCGATGTTAGACTTGGTGACCTGATCTGATCAAATTTATTTTGGAATGTTATAGCTAGGTTAGTAATATCTTTGATAGCATAGGATAACGTCGACAGGCTGTCATTGACCTGATTTCTCGAAGAAATAGCGCATTGCTTACATCTCTTCCTCTTACTATTTACTCTGCCGTCGTATGAAGTTCTCACGGATGGAAGTCCACGGCGCATGCGTCTATAACCATGTCAGGGTCGCGGCCTGTCGTACCCCAAGGTCGGCAATGTTTAGCATTACCACCTCTGTCACTCCCCCCGTTATAATCCAAGGAGTCACAACACTACTCGTGTATATTTTTAATTTTTTGATGGATTTCATAACACCGATCGCTGTTCGGGGTAAGTGCTTTACTGGTGTCACTAGAAGGTTCGATAACCTGGTGTTTGTAGTGCCATAATTATTTTAAAGTCCTTTGTTGTCTATAATACTAGATATTATTTAGGTCAATGTTGTTGCTATGGTTTACGAAAAATGCACTGATGGAAGGAATTATTTATGTTCATCTTTGTTTGTGATGTAATGATGTATTTACGATTGTGATAGCTATGTGTCTTAAAAATTCGAGCTTGTTTTTTAATTATTAAACAATATTTTGGGTTGCTACAAAATCAAGTGCGAACGCTATAAAAGGGGCCTGTTTCTGCGGAAAGTATTGTTAATTAAATTAAGGTTCTCTAATTAATAAATATAAATATAATATAAATATAAATATTTCCAACACTCACACCAATTAGCCTAGCCCCAAAGTAAGCACTGTAAAGGCTTGTGTTAAGGGATACTAGGGTAACGGATAGAATACATATATTGTACATATATAAGTATATTTATATATTAAACATCCATGACTGGAGTACAAATGCTCGTATTCATCACACAAACATCTGCCCCCACCGGGATTCGAACCCGGGACCTCTCGAGTCGGCGACGCCATGAAACCCGGCGTATAAACCACTCGGCCACGGAGGTCGTCAAAACCTAAATTAATTACCTAAGTAATGAAAGGTTATCTATAGCAAGCCATAAGCTTCATATTATCACATATTATCATGCCATTAGTGTTTTCTAATGTTATTAACTTTCATAATTATGGATAAGAGAAAATTGTGGAAGATAAAAAGTGCCAGTTAGTCATTGTTACTTGTAAATTAATTTTATTTTCTTTGACTTCAAGGGAAATATTCTTTAACTATTATTTCAGCTAGCAATGTGCTGCCTTTAGAAGATTACGATGGACCAAGAGCGCCTTTACTCCGACAAGTATCTTTGGATGAGGAGCGTCGTGATGACTGCCAGGGTCACTGGAACTGCCAGGACTTGGATGGAGAAGAGGAGGAAAGGGGAGTTAGACTGTTCAGAGCTCTGCTACTACAACACTTGAGACTTATGGCTTTGAGGCCGCCGCCTTGTATACTTGCATCAGCGAAACCTGATCCGCGGTACGTACTGACGATGGAGACAAAAGAAAGATATTTAATATTATGACATTTTAAGTTTACTCGTTGCACAGTACTGTTGTTTTTGAATTTCATTTCATTAGTTTAGTGTAGTACCCAACTGACTTACAGAATAATATCTCAAGTTCGTAATCAAAGCTGTATATGTTGTTGCATTGATGGGTTAGAAGTCGAAGTTACACAATTGGAGGGCAGTTTATTCTTCTAGCTTCCCTGCAGCAGCAATTCCATCAGATATATCATCTGGAACTTTTATCAGATATTTCTTGAGCCATTTAAAATATCATCTGGAGTAGTTTTCTTCAAACCCTCTCAATTAAATCATTCTCTTTGTTACAGCAGATGCAGTTTCATAAAATCGATAGATTGGTCTAGAAATGTGCACAATCATTAATTACCGTTCTTGTCTGCCAGCTTTAAAAGATTATTCCGATCCAAGTGTTCAATGAAGGCCTATTGAAACAGAGTTGTCAAAATTTATACTATATTTTCAGTGGCTGGTGGATGTACTGGCGTGATTGGCGGTCTCTGGAGAGGGCAGCTCGACGGTTCCGGCTGACAAAGGCCCGTGGAAGGTTGGCTGCCAGAGCCGAGCACATCTCCTTGCTGAGCCTGGACGAAGTGGCGTTTGAAGATATCATGCAGGAGTTATGCCAGGTACAATAGTCCCTAGTTGTTTTTTAAAAAAATGGGAAGTGAATGAAATATTTGATGAAATTATTGGGCTTATTCAAATGTTTGGTTACTTTAATCTTATTTTAAATGACCGTGGTTTTGACTTCTTATAAGCTCTATGTTATATGCTGACTTTATCAAGATTCAATCAACATTCAAGTTTACTCTCACTTTTTTTGCGAAAGCAAAAAAGTCACACACGTGACATTGACTAGTACTTGACATCCAGTGCGGTCTTCTATTGGTCCATTTTCAGGATCGGAATTGAAGATATTGTTAATCTGTCTTATTAAATGCATTTAGTAGGTAGTAAGAGACTGTCGACTATCGTAGATCTATGTTTGCAGAATTTTAGACTAAGTTGACAAACATGTTTTTATGAGATCTTTTGAAACTTTAAACTTTGCAAAATGAGCTTTAATTGTTCCGTGCCTGGTGTGACAAAAAAAAATTATGTGTTTATAACTGAAAACTACTTGAAGCTTGTGTTCAGTCTTATTGTAAATCACCATTATCATTATCGTCACCAACCTTAACTTAATGAGACTAACTGATGGGGCACAGGCCTTCCATATGGATGGAATAGACTAGGCCGTGACCCATCACGCGGATACACTGCGGATTGGTGGGTGCTAACGACTGCAGATGCAGCCGGGACCAACGGCTTAACGTTTCTTCCGAAGCACGGAGGAGTTCAATATAATAAGGTTTCAGTCACCCACCCCATTGGGTGACCAAAACCTTTTCAATGGTCCTTCATTACCGACCCTTGCAAAAGTTGCTTAATACGGCTCGCAGGCCTATCGTAACTAACCACCTGCGCTTTCGAGTTCCTCCTTATTATATTTAACCACGGGGGCAATAGGAGCTCGATGGCGCAAGTGGTTAGCGCGTTCGGCTGCGATCGTTGAACTTAAGCAACTTTCGCAGTGGTCAGTCATTGGATGGGTGACCAAAAAATTACTATCTCGAGCTCCTCCGTGCTTCGGAAGGCACGTTAAGCCGTTGGTCCCGGCTGCATCTGCAGTCGTTAGCACCCACCAATCCACACTGGGCCCGCGTGGTGGGTCATGGCCCAATCTCCGTATTCCATCCATTGGGAAGGCCTGTCCCCAGCAGTGGGGACATTAATAGGCTGATGATGATGATATTTAACCAATGTTCCAGGCTTGTGCACACATAGAACAGCGCGCTCTGGTAGTGCTAGCGTTCCTGTGTGAGGTGTGCGCGCGCGCAGTCCGCGTGGGCGGCTGGTGTCGAGCTACCGACTGGGCGGTCAACCATGTCGCCAAGTTCGCCACTCCCTGGGCGATTAGACACGGGGGTTGGGTGAGTGTAATATCAAACGAACAACACCTATAGCCATAGAGATACTGACTGGGAGGTCTACCACGTTCGTAAGTTCACTACTCCATGGGCTATTAGACACGAGGCGAAGGTTGGATGAATTTCAACATCAAACAATCAAGAAAAACAAATCAACGCTAGCAATGGCAAACCAAATCTTGAGCTGTGTTCTTAAAGCATGCTCCACGAGGATTTTGTTGGTGTTATGGTAACTCGAAGATTTCTCATCATCATCAGACTATTAATGTCCTCAATGCTGAGGCTCATGCTGGGTGAGTATTATAATAAACAATGGACGCACAAAGAGCAGTGAGCCCTGGTGATGCTAGCGTTTCTGTACTATTAGACACGGGGGTTTGTGTGAATGTAACATCAAATAGTAAACATACACAAAACAGAGTGCCCTGGGGGTGCTGGAGTTTCAGTGTGAACCACGGATTGGGCGGTCGACAACGTCGCCAAGATCGAAATACTATAGGCAGCAGCAGTGCGTTCTAGTGATGCTAGCGTTTCTTACTATAGCAGTGCTTTCTGGTGATGCTAGCGTTTCTGTGCGAGGTTTGCGCCCGTCACTTCAAGGACCATTTGACACGGGGTAAGAGTAAGTGTTACATCAAATAATCCAAGAACACACAGCGGCGCGCTCTGGTGGTGCTAGCGTTTCTCTATGAGCCACATACTAGACGGTCAATAACGTCGCTAATATGCACCGTGACTCTGTCAAAATTGGTGATAAAATCGGTCCTCTGAGATCCCGGAACCTGGAGAAAATCTAAACTGAAAACCTGGAGAAAATCTACGTGAAAACTTTTTCCCTTAAGTAAACTGCTTGAATTTATCATAGTTGTATTCTCGGGGAAAGGCTTATTGCCAAATTGTGTACATTAACCAGGGTCATGATTAATCACTTAAAAAAATTACCAAGTCTCAGGCTGTTTGTCGTCTGCGGCCATCGCCGGACCGTCACCAAGATCGAGATTATTTCTGTATGAAATCAAGATGTCGTGACGGGCTTGCGGTGCACAAGCGGCTATAGTAAATGTATGTGTCGCTACTTCGGCGCCGTCATCACATTCTCCCTAACGTTCCGGTGATGGCCGCGGTGGCCAAACGTCCTAATGATCCGAGCTAAAACCAGATGTTGTTATTATTATTACATATTTTTCTAACCTAAAAGATCTGACTCGCCACCAAGTTAAAGCAACGGCTTGAACGATTTGTCTGAGAATCGGCAACTATCTATTTTTCATACCCCTAAGTGATAAGGGTTGTCCACCCCCAATATTTGTTGAACAAATTTTTTTTTTATAATGTGGCATTAAAAAATACATATAACCCTAAAAGGAGATTGCTCAAATTGGCCCAAATGTACAAAAAATATTGACATATACTGTTGACAATTCTTGGTGTAATTTATACTTTATTTTACAGTCATTATATTTTAACGGACACCTTTGTATAATATATTAATTTAAAAAAGGACTTTTAATTGTACCGGTTTGGAAAACATACAAATCATTTTTAACGGCTATGGGTGTAGTAACATTCAGCCAAAGACTGATCAAAGTTGTTTAAATACATCAAAACAATTCTATTTTGTAAAGATCGATAAAATAAAACATTTATTTTTATTACTGTGTACTGTATTAATATCCACAACTAAAAATCATTTTCACTACATGCAAATGTGCTAAGACAATTATTATAGATGGTAGGCGACATTATAAAGTCTATTGCCATACATTTTTCGCCAAACACCTCCATAAACACATTATAAGGTGTGATATACTAAAAATCTAAAATATGGTTATAATATAAATACATACATACTTACATATAAGAAAAATAATGAAGCTACTGAAGATATGGCTGTATAACCTTAATCTCTTAGCTTACTTTGGTTAACTATATAATTAACATATTTGTTTTTTATTATTTTAATACCTATGTGCCTATTTGCACATATAACCTCAAAATCATTCAGTGTATATGGTTGAAAGAAGTTCTCAGGAGTGTCCGTCAATAATATTCGTTTCTACAGTAATTTATATATAATTTCGAATCTAGAAAACAATTTTTCATGATTATTGGTCTTTAGGCCAAACATATATGGAAGCTGAGCAATCTCCTTTCACCGTTCTACCACCAGCCCCTATTTTTAATTATAATATTTATATTATCTTTTTTGGTACGAAGTTAGCTGGATCAGCTAGTTTCATATAATCTCGGATCTTGTTACAGAGTGCTGTGATAGAAAGAGCCGATGGCACTAGACGCGAGGACACTTTATTGGCAGGAGCAGCCGTTGCAGCTCTGGTGGCTTTCCTCCTCTTTTGCCGTACAAGATTACGACACGCTTTACTTTAAGCCAAACTAAAAGCTCAGTTGGGACGAATTAAATCCAATGAAGCCTGAAGCCAAATTACAGAGTTTTATGAAGGAAGTAGATATTATATATCTATTGAAATGGTATTGCGCAGTTTGGGTAGGAAGAACTGATAGTAATGTGTTCGATGCAGGCAGTTTTAGGGAAAATTTCAAAGGCTCAATCACTTGATTTTTTCGTCTGTCTCTGGGATTTTTTGTAAATGTATTTTGTCACTTTTGTTAATGTTTTTTTAACTCGTATTTATAATGTTATGTATAGCAATGGATGTGATGTTATGTATATTTTTTTAATAAGGTACTCTATCTTAAAGTTACTGTGATCGAAGTAGTTTCAGAAGAGGGTCTATTTGTATTTGGGCACAATTTAATAAGAATGCAACTTACCAAACAAATTATCTTTATTAAAGTTATATAGAATTGTATAGCTAAATGCATTTATATGCTCAGTTTGGATTCATAGAATTCTAAATAGGTTTTATCATCATCATACATACATATTCGAAATAATGTTTGATTGTCTACTGTTTTAATTATGCACGAAAAACCCCATTTAACAGTCATATTTAGATGAAAAATATTTTCCATATTAATTATAATTAGGAGGCAAGTTAATAGTTTGTATTCGAACGTTATTAATTTGTTAAAGGATAAGTGTTATTTATTAAGATTCTTATCCTCAACCAAGAGGAAATTAATGGAATTTATTATTAAGTGTATTTCTATTGTAATAATGAAGGTTTTTTATTTGGGAGTGCGTGAAAACATAAGAAATAAATATTCTAGAAATTTAATTAACATTTTTTTTTCATAATTGCCATCGAATCTTTATCATACTATCTGATTGATAAATAAAACTTTAGTAAATTGTATTGTGTTAAATATGAGGTGAAATTTTGTTTGCAAATTGTGAATTTGCAATATTTTTAAGTTGCGTTTTTTAAAATTAAGTAATCAAGTAACACAAAACGGTATATTTTCCCAAACTAATTTTGAGCTGTTTCTTTAGATTTAAAGTATTAATTGTGAAAAAGCTTCATTATTTTTATATTACGCGTGTATGTATGTACTGTAATAAATATTTTGAATAATACCATCTTGTCCTTTTTATTTCGTTTGACAGGCATTTGCTGACTTCTATTTAATCAAATTATCTTATTAATTTGTCTAATTAATCAGGAGGGATAGCGAATTTTCCGTTCGAATTGGAGCGCCTTTCTAGAGAAGTCAGTGCTCACATAACTGCGAATTCTCACGCAACGCAAAAATCTGCGAGCTGTCATGAACGCACGCCAAGAACTTTCGATTTGATTCGCATCACGCATTCCTGCGATATAACGTCTCTCTTGGTGACGCCATTTAGTCTGCTCTGAGACTTCCCTTTAACGATCGCTTTTGTCGACATGGTGATAATAAATTGAAAGGCTCTTCAACTTGCTTATTCTAAGACAATATTTCTTTTTCTGTTCTCAAACCATGGTATTATCGAGTAAAATAGTTCCCACCAGCGTTCATAATTATAATAACCCAAAATCTTCTTTTCCTTTTATATCTCTTTAACAATAACAGCAGTGAAACAATCTTTATGCAATCCATGTTACTATTACTAAATCACTTCCAATACGGCTGACTACCGTTGAAGGTATGGTCACATTAACCAAATCTTTGCCGCACGAAATCCAAACGCAAATCGCATCGCAAGTTCCTGCGTTGCGACGTCGCATCGCATCGTACTTTTGTGTGGGAGGCCTAAATTACACCTTACAGAAAATCACAGTAAAATAAACTACCTTATGGTCGTGTTACGTTTCTGCTATATCATCTATCTTCGCGACTGGACTCCACTTAACACTAAACATCAGGGGGCCATTCGCCTAACGGGATTGCTTTAGAAAACACTATCGCTTACGATTTCATTTTGTTATTTCAGACCGCCGAAGGTTTTCAGATACCTCACGCTCATTTTCTTTTATATTGTTTTTACCAATGCAAAAGAAAAAATAAGAGAGCGAGGCATTTGAAAACTTCAGGTGGCTAGAAATAATCCCGTCGTCGTCGTCGCCCGTTAGGCGAATGGCCTCCTGGTGGGCTAGGGTATTTTTTGGGCCTTGTATAAAAAAAAATACACATAAAACTGTTCGTATTCGAAGTGATTTGTTATATTTATCTGTTTCACTAGACATCACACTTGATATGAATGAGTAGGTATACAAATTGTAGTTACCCCATTGTTTAAGTACACAGGACATTTTGATTTCAATTATTTAAAACTGTTCCTTTATTTAGCCGTTATGAAGGGACTTGCAAAAAGTGACTGCTAAAATCATAAATTTATATTTTTGAATTTGCCCTAATCGAGTTGAAAGAAATCTTAAATAACAAAATAATAAAAATGCACAATCACTATTTTATTATTTTTATTGTAATTTTTCATAATACCGTCGTCTGCCGACTCGTGGGGACGCCAATGCCCTTTGTTCTCGCACATAAACGCAAATTTAATCATCACTAAAACTTTTACAACAAACCAACTATCAAAGGTTACATTATGGATGCAATAAACTAGTTATTACAGAAACTATCACAATATACAATCATCAACAATCATTAAAAGCTTTGATAAGAGCAACAATTCAATAAATGTACAGCAAATTTTTTAAGTACACAAAAAAGTTTTGTCGCATTGCCGAATTTAAAAAAACCTTTTTTATCACCACAGACTGAACAGATTTTTTTCTATTATTGCAGGATGATGCTACAGTAGATTTTTTACCTAATTGATGAAACAAGGTTGCATTTTTAATTTAAAAAAATGGTAGTAAAATTATAGTCATTTATTTTACGACTCATCTAAATAAACATCATCTTTTGTGGTGAGAGAAACAAAAAATTATCTTACAATGCAGATAAAGATAACTACAATTATTTGCAGCAGTAGATTCGAAATCATTGAAGTTCACAAAGATTTCGTTAATTCGGCAACGTAACCTAACAAAAGTCATAATAATACTGCTGAAACATTTGAAATCACAATAGTCCATCGAATAATTCCAGTCAGAGCTCCACCCGTTTCTTACTCGTTACAACATGATGAAAATCACTAGAACTTATCTACTTTGTTTTTAAAATCAATAACATTTTTTTTACTTTTACTTATTTTGTAATATCACTATTAACAATCTACGCTGCCATTTCGATTTCTAATGCCTCAGATGAACGGCTACATTTCTCTAAAGATTTCGTTCTTCCAATAACTACAGTGGCTTAGTATTCTTTAAAAAAAACACTACTGCTACAGTGCTATTCTGTAGGGGCAAACTCACTTTACAATTCGGAATCCGCGGTGTGATTTAATAATAGAACATGAATTTTAAATAAATTTCAAATCACACCGGCAAATTCCGCTGTGAAAATTGAGTTTGTTCTTAAGGAATAGCACTGCTAGTAAGTTACAATAGAGCTATACAAACGTCAGTAGACCTACTAAAATCAGGACCACTACTCATTGGTCCATATAGTTACAGTTTCGTTTCACCATTTCTCTTACACGACATGGCGTTGATGTACAAAATTTATTCTTAATTAACAACTCGGAGGTCACAGGAAATCGAAATTGCAACCCTGAACAAAATCAAAGACTAAACGTTTGTTTTTCACTATTCTTCACGCAGCCAGTGTCTTTAAAGCTGTTTTGTTACAAAAAGAAATACCTACTTAAGAAAAAAATATTCTCATGGTGTTCGTAATTAAAAACTGCTGCGTTGAGATTAGTGAAAACTTTACATTTTTCAATAATCTTTATTTTATTATCTGCAATAATTACTTTATAATTTTTATATAAAAACCATCACTAGTAACAATTTCTACCTGGACTAGGTTGTTTCGCCGGTTTGCGGTGGTGAATGTTTTACGATAAACTTGCTTCTGCATTTGAGCATATTCTTCTAAAATTAATGGGTTTAATGAGAACTTTTGGTGATTCCATCCTTAAGATTATTTTTTCATAATTGCATATGTCGTAGGATGATTTGATCAAATGATAACGCACTTAATTAGACAATAGCGATAACATTTCTCAACCTTACTAAAAATAGATAGGATTTCTACGAAAACGCTAATTGAGTTAGTAAAATTGAACATCCTTTACTCTGATTGGCTCGTTTTTTGATCGCTGGTCAACTGTTATTCTGATTGGTTCTTAGTTTTACCTTTTAACTGTGAGTATCATTATCACAGAGTTATTAAACGTTAGAAATGACAATGGCGCATAGTTTAATCTTTCTATTGAAGTAATTACTGTCAATCACACTATTTATTCGTTCTTTAATCCATTCTGGTTAAGTACTTCCGTCCTGTCTATTAGTGTAAAACTTTCTTAGTTCTATGTCTAATATTTCTTTATCGAACCTAACCTCAAAATCTGTTTCTGATTCTGTACAAATTTCAATTATATCTTACATTCTGTACTTACAGACACACCTCTATATGTTTTCGAACTTTTTATGTTTCCCAAGTTATTAAATAACAAAAAACTGCTAACTCGCTTACAAAACCAGAATCACAAATATGTTTATTTGTGATTGTTGCGAACGAGAGCGAGAGCTTGACATTTAAAATATCAAGTCTTTTACCTATCAGAGATGGTATTTATAATAAGCTAACAATTCTTCTCGAAATCTTACTGAGGCGACTCGCGTTTTCGCCAAAATCCTATCTTTTTTTAGTAAAATTGAGAAATGCCATCGCAATTGTCTAATTATCCGCTATTTTTCAAAATTTCTAAGATTTTCAAGAAAATTCGGTTTATCATATATGATCCTACGACACATGCAAGTTGAAAATAATTTAATTGTTCAATCGAACATAAGTCATCTCTTTTACGATCAGTGAATTGAGACTTGGCAACGTTTTAATTATTAGTCAGGAGATAGAAAATGATTCTGTTACAACAACGAGATGATGTAAAGAGGCTAATTGTCCGAAACAGGCGAAACATCCCCATGTTATATTTAAATTTGTTAGTAAACATTTTTTATTAAAGTTAATTTTAAATGATAGCATTTAAGCCTAATCTTATACTACGAGAGAATTTACGAAGGTTACGTGTTGTCAACATCGCAATCACGATGACGACGGAATATTTCAGTAATATCAACCCTTATATAAACTAACCAAGTTAGGAATTTGATGAGAACTAGCTCGGCTTGTGCTATTTGGTACTGAACAAATGCAATTTTGATGTAACTAAGTCGTATGACATGCAAACATGCAAAGTGATATGGCAGTCACAGTACGCAGACACACGGTGGCAAGTGAACCAGAACACGATTTACAAATTATTGAAATTGACAAAATTAAATTATTAATTGCATACATAGAAAACATCAAAACGTTTGTATCAAATACAAATGGTCCAAAGTGCACCGTGTGTCTGCCACTCTCGTACCGAAATTTCAGTACACTCGAATTTTGAATCGACGATTAAAAACAATGGAAGGATGACACATTTACAAGACCTAATTTTACATTATTCAAGAGATAGTATAGAAATCACTAATTTATAATGTTAATTAATATAATAAGACTTTTAGAGTAGTATTTTCAAAGTGCAGTTTCCGTAGCTTTGCGTAATTATACATACAAATGTCGTTTTTGTCGCAAGTGAAATGTTTTTTTCTAGATTCGCATCTCACTTAATCACCGTAAGTTGATTTTATTAAGAAGTGTATAATATATCACCAAATTTCGAAAAAACAACATGAATAGGAGCAAATATCTTTCGATCCTTACTTTTAAAGAGTGGCCACTTAAAGATCGCACAGCCTGAGATTTACAAATACAAAGACATCTGGAAGGAAAACATGAATATATAGAAATGTCGAAGATGTAACTGTTTGATCTAAAGTGGCACCGCTATGCGAACTACAGAAGGCTATAATCAAATCCAAGCTTATCATACAATATACAGATACTATGTGACTTGTAGACAGATGACTTCTATAAACAATTTTATGATTACGTCATAAGCATGCCCTTATCACAGATTATGATCTACCAGACTGTTCAGCAACTAGCGATATGTAGTTATTTATTTTCGAAACCATCGTTTTGTAAATAGTAGCTTGCTTGTGCAGCCGTTATAATAAGTATATTAAATTTTCTATTTATGTTCTGTGACTAATCAGAGGATTCTAATGGGTTCAAATAAATAGTTGAACATCACACATAATTCTATTGCTAACCATTGCCAGGGTTTGATCTATTTTCAAAACTTGCATTTTTAACAATTTACAAAGTTTTAAATCTTTAGATACGATCTTCAAGAAGTGATAATAATTACCATTGTTTTTGATGGCACATGACACATTTGCAAAATAAGAGCCAGTGTTAAACCTTCTTTATATAACCATTGATGTCAATATGAAGGTGATTCATAGCTACTACCTAAAGATTTAAATCCTTGGCTATTTATCACATATAAATGTAAGGGTAAATAATGTTGCCTACTGGGATATTTACGGTATATTTCACTGACATATTTATCCCGTTGTGCGTTTATGAAATGTTTCAAATTCTATATTTTAATATTGTACACACTGTTGTTCGCGTATATGGCATAATATATTATTTTGTATTTTATCGTTTGAGCGTTATACAATTGTAAGAATTTTGTTAAAGCTTAACAATACGAATATTTAACTATCTATTCTAGAATATTTATTGCTATGTCGATTAGGCGGGTTATCAATATAAAATTTGTGGGCTATCAACAATTGGATTTACAATTATTAATTTTATTTCACATAATGACATTTTTAATCATTAAATCCTGTTTATTAACATAATGTTATAAAAATCCTGCGAAGCTTTTAATTAACGGAAACAAATAAAACAAAACACATGGACGGTTTTTATGATCTTCAAATGTAAAGATAAGTTTCAAGTAGACGCGTTTATAAACCGTATTTCTGGGAATCGATTAAAGTGAATAGAAACTTACATTAAATAGAAAGAGAGAGATAAACTTCTTTTAGAATTGACTATAATTATGACAGACTAATGATTAACAACATACCCGTCTTTAAGTCGAAAGTAATCGGGTGAAATTATAATAAGTAAGTTGAAATAGGATTACGAGATATAGTTTTTAAGTATATGTATAGTGTAAAGTATACTACCGTATTTTTAGAGCGGGACATATGTACGTAATATTTCCCTTTGTAGTCCTTGCTCATAACAGCTGTATTATCAGTAGAAACATGGATTATTTATATGTTAAGTTTTTTCAACGTGATGATACTAAAAATTGTTCTAGTAACCTTAACGAATACACCGATGTAATCTTCAAGTAATGGAAAGCAAATAAAATAGATAGAGATCAATTTACAACGTGAATATACTGCGTATACAATAGCTGATTTAAAATCCAGTCATTTGATACACGAAGTAAGATCACTCATGTTACATCAACTGATAAAAGGATTCAATAGGATTAGTACCTATTTGACTTTTACTGAAGTTACATCAGCCATCATCATAATCAGTTCTGAAAATTTTCATTTACTGAGCTTAGGTATTGCTATCTATAATCACCAACCTATTGATGTCTTCAGTGCAGGGGCACAGGCTATCCCTATGGATGGAATTGGGATACTAGACCGTGATCGACCACGCAGGCCCAGTGCGTATTGGTGGGTGCTAACTACTGCAGATACAGTCAGGACCAACGGCAAAAATGCCTTCCGAAGCTTGAAGGAGCTCTAGATACTAAGTTTTTGGTGACTAGACAATGACCGACCATTAAAAAGTTGCTTAATTTCTTTTACGCTATCGAGTTCTTCTACGTTTGTGCTGATGTATAATTAGATTTACTATTATTTTTTAAAGTTAGTTAGGTAATTTTCTTAATAAATTTTAATAAAACAGTCACTTGGCTGGGTAAATACGATCTTTTACATATTTGCAAAATTATTTGAATTTTCCCTTGACGAAAGACCAGGTTTATTTCATCACAGGGAAATAATTAGAAGACAAATGGTTACAGATACTGTTCATCTTGCCAATGTTATTACTGACACTACAACTGGAAATGAGGACAAAAAGGGTATTTTTGGACTTTTCTCAATCCGTATCGACAATTATGAAGGCGAACGACATGTAGTGGATACAATATACCTAAATATAGAAGCTAATAATGTTAACGAGCCCACGAGGGCTCTTAGGCACATTTTATGGAAATGATGATGTTTCAAATAGTGACGACATCTGCCCCGCTCGGGCGTCCTTAACGCCTTCTACACGTGTATTTACATCAGTTTTGATTCTAGCATTTAGTGCTGTCACAACATCACCAACAATTTCATTTCATGATACAATCAAATCATGAACTTTTCTGCCTTTGGACTGAAGGTCGCACGACCAATCAACAATCCGCAAGATAATTTATTTCTTTATACAAACAAAGGAAGTAATATTTACATAAGTACATAATTTCAACTGACACATACACGAACTAACACATCGGCGACTCTTTTGAAACACTATCGTCGTAAAGTTAATTATAATACCCTTGATTTAGGGTCAACTTTATAGAATAAAATCTAGAAGGCGATAGTATTTCAGAAGTAATCCCAAATAAAAAAAAAAACACTAAATTTCAATAACGCTATAAGCGCTTTTAACGAACAACTAACATTCATATAATTAACTACAGTCTCTATTGATGGCTATGTATAATATATATATTTATATTTGTTGATATAAAAAATGATTTCGTACAAGAATTCTCATACCCTTTTCAACATTGATAAATTTTTTATAACACACGTACTTATTCTGTCCACACGGAGTCCTCATCAGAAGAGGTTATTCAGTACTTTTAGGAAGTCTGCGATAGGATCAGGTGTATTGTATTTCTTCAAATTTCCACTAATAATGCAAGTCATTGTCAAAAAGTTAACAAATTCACAAATCGATCGTTGCGGTTTACAGCAGTTTTAGTAAATCACTATTAAATTTAACCTTTAATAAGTGCTCATCTTGTATTTTAGCTTCTAATAAAGCACTCATCATACTCATAGTAATAAAAATCACCTAAGCAACTAATTAGCGAAGCAATCAGAATTCAATAGATTCATTTGAGCAATTAATAACATTGTGCTAAATCAACTATGTAACTAATAAAACTATAATATTTTATAAGTTTATATAGAATATATTAAAAAGATTCTTTAACAAATTTGAAGACCTGCCTTCATGGAGTTTCCCAAAAGGTAGTCTTCAATTATAAGTACAACCAAGAAGAACTAATTATTTATTTTGTGCAACGCGGCTGTTTTTTTTAACATAGTTAATCTGAACATCGTCTTTGGTGACGACAATAAGACGAAGTCTTCACTGCTACATTTACTTTGTCTTATCGTAGCTATTTCCAGACTATCAGAAAGAGCTGCTATCATAACAATTAAAAAAGAAGTTACGCAGCGATGGTATACGCTTTTGGAGGTATTTAATATTTTGTGCCCCATTTATTTGCATATTGTTTTGAACGTCACTAAATTTACCTATCTATTCGTGAGGGCAGTGTAAGTATCCGTATTCGAGACCTAAACTGACTGCGACGAAAACGAAATACAACATGAACATGGTGAAACCGAGTCCTCTGTTCATTTTCCACCGGAAACAGGCGATGCTGAGGATGACGAAGAGAAGCATAGCAAACAGTAGCACTATACTGCACACCATTCCTTGGGAGTTCACTTGGACTGGCTCCCCGTTGATCAGGCCGTACAGCAGCCAAGGGAGAGGTAACCTGGAAGGTTTAAAAACTTTTTAAGATAATTGTTTTCATAATCTTATCTTCAAAGATGTTTTTATTCTTTGAGCAGTTATGGATTAGTTTTTACCACAGAACACAGAAACCTTTTTCTGTGTTCTGTGGTTTTTACAATGGCTATCCGTATTAAAAAATTGCTAAATTGCCATTGGTGAGGCTCTTTGTAGTGTAGTCTGGTCTTTATTGACTTCATAATTACTTTTCTAACCATCTTTCAAAGGAGGAGTTTCTCAATTCACCATTACATTTTTTTTGTAGTTGTTAGCGCATATAACACCATTGTGTCCTCTTTTTCGTAAAACAGTACACGGCACAAACTTCCCAATACCAAGGTTGTCAAAGGTTGTAGTGATATTATTGATATGTTTATTGATTCACTTCTTTAGCTCAAAAGAATATTGTTCCGAACACGAACCTTGATATTGATATAAAAACTATATTGTAAATTTTAATTAAAAAGAACAACTTCATAACTTAGGAAATAAATAAAATTGTAATGAACTTAATGTCTATTTTTAGCGTCTTCTTTAATGCATGCGGTGTTTACTTTAATAGATTGTTTCATTGGAGTATATAGTTAATCTTGTAAATAGTTTTAGTAGTGTGTGAACAAATACTGGTAAACCATATAATATATTTGTTTCTTAGGTTTTCACGCACATCACTCATTAAATAAAACTAGTTTAAACGGGATAATGCACGAAACTTTATTTATTTATTGACGTTTCGTAGCCTTTCCAGGCTTCGTCGTCAGAATAAAACTTTTGTTTAATTTGTCGAGCTACCTTCGAAAGACTTTTATTGAGCGTTTGGTTATTTCATCGTTCGATTTTCAAGTTTTATTGTCTATGTATGAATTTATTATTTAATTTACTTAATAAAGTATTTTATTTAAAATTCTTGTTTGTAATTTTGCGTTTATTTATTTGACCCTAACTACCGTAAACTACCACCGGTTCCAAAATTGGGAGACCTTCCTGGGAAGAACCGGCGAAACAAACTCAAGAGAGGCTTTCTATCTCCTTCTTATGTTAAATTATGCAAACAAAAAGAACTAATAGTATCTGATGGTATTCGAGGAACGAATGATGCGCGATGCAGCTGAGCGGCGTTTCGTTCCTCGAATGATGCGCGAGGCTATTGAGATTAAAAAATATCCAAATTTCAATAGGGAGGATGGTTGGTATATGCCACCAGCTTGGGAACCTATTATACAGGAGATAAAATCCCAACCCCGAGCACATACTGCAAGACCATCAGATACTATTAGTTCTTTTTGTTTGCATAATTTAACATAAGAAGGAGATAGAAAGCCTCTCTTGAGTTTGTTTCGCCGGTTCTTCTCAGGAAGGTCTCCCAATTTTGGAACCGGTGGTAGTTTACGGTAGTTAGGGTCAAATAAATAAACGCAAAATTACAAACAAGAATTTTAAATAAAATACTTTATTAAGTAAATTAAATAATAAATTCATACATAGACAATAAAACTTGAAAATCGAACGATGAAATAACCAAACGCTCAATAAAAGTCTTTCGAAGGTAGCTCGACAAATTAAACAAAAGTTTTACTCTGACGACGAAGCCTGGAAAGGCTAAACGTCAATAAATAAATAAAGTTTCGTGCATTATCCCGTTTAAACTAGTTTTATTTAAACCATATAATAAATAAATAAAATTAATAAATATCTTCGAGGTTTGTTGCCCGATTTTGATGATTCTTTTTTTGCTTGAAAGAGAGTTTGTTAGCGAGACTAGCACTGTTACTAATTTGGTAACATTTGATAAATACTTTCGGAGATAACTCCTCAAATACGAATAGTACACATATCATATTCGGTTATTTTACGAAATATGAGAGAGAGATCGCAGTTCAGATATCTATATTTAATAAGTTGATGTTGCTCTGGCTTATAAAAAATGAAAAATAAAATCTTTAATTAAAAAAAAAACAACTTAATGAAAACAAAACCATCAAAAAGAAAGAACTTATCCATATTCTTTACTTACATCTACATTTGAAGTCAAATTAACATTTGGAGTTGGTACCATGCCAAAGCTGTATGTGACAACTCAGATTTTTCAATTTGCATGGCACGAAGTCGGTTTTTATTTTTTTGTTAAAAAGTTTTAAGAACAATTAGAGGGACTTATAGGGAAGCAAGTACTAATTATACATTCTATATAGCAGTACCTATATTCAAATGCAAAATTCTAGAAACCAATCTAAGATAAGGAGAACATTGTTAATGGAGACGAGATCAATAACGAGATTAATTTTAAAGTGACAGAATGTATTGAGGACATATTTTAACTATTTTTCTAAATTACATGGATGATTATCTTATAAGTTTGGTAGGAACTTAGAAAATAATTATTACCACACTTTATGAAATCATCCAGATAATTAATATTTTTGCATGAAATATTTGATTGTGGTATACCGTAGATTTGGAACAAGGACGTGCGTCGAATTGTGTTGATAAATATCAAACAGTTAACTTATATCGTAACTTTTCAAAGGGGCAAGAATGAGGTGAATAGGGGTTGGATTGAGGGGGCGGGGGTTATGACTACCCGTGCGCTTAAGGCCGTAAGTTTTTAACCGATACAAATGGGAAAAATGGCCTTGAATCGTGGAATCGGATCATGCTTTCTTGCAAGTTTCGATCACGCGAGCGTTTGTTAGGATATATAGCGTGAAATGAATTCATGCTCCCCTTTATTGGCGATTATCCCTTTAAAGGAATTGCCATTTTTAATAGCATGTAATAATTAGTTCAGTTACAAATATTCATTGATTAACTTACTTATGTATCACGCTGAAGACGAAAGTTTAAGTGATAAAATAAATTCACATGTCATATTTGGTAATATTTTAAACTCTTGAACAATGTTTCATAATACAGTAAGTATAGCTTACATTGGCACAAATATAAAAGTTTTAGCTTTAACAATATTAATCAATTGTATGCCAGGTACATACTTATACGAAGGGTGTACAAAAATCCGAAATGAATAAAAAAATATATCTGTCACCCATAAAAATGAATTTATTGTTTAAAAAAATATTATTCTTTGAATAACGAGAATGGGCTCGTTAAAATAAACTGAATATCAGAAAAAATATGCCACTTTACCGTGGTGACTACGGAAGCACGCTTTTTTACTCTTCAACAGCCTCTTCTGGTGTCGAAAATCGTTGGACGCATAAATGAGGCTTGATTTTTTGGGTGGTTCATGTTTTGTCACTTGCCATTATGGCCCACATCAAATTTGATGTCCCCTAGTTGAATTTGGTACGCATGCCATCTCAAATTTCACCAAGTGCCGCGGTATGTTATTTGTGCATAAGACATAAACACACTGGTCGCAGTAAATAAAAAAAAAGTTTTCGTTGCTCAGACGGATGTATCCAAAGAAATCTGCTAAACAGCTATTACAGTCGACTTATCTTAACTTGATACTCTTCTGAGGCGTCAAACTACATTTGGTATTAAAGTAAATGTTAACACTTTGTATACAAACTCTTACGAGTCAAATCCACGGTAACGTAGACGTTATATTTAAAATAGCACCAGAATGTGAAATACGTCTGAAGAGCTAAGGGGAAAAACAGGCTAAGTCACATTAATAAAATTAAAGTACAAGCAATTCAGTTGCGGCAGTATTTAATGACTGACTCAGAAAATCTGCTCATACACAAGCAATGCAATTTTTTTTCAATGTTACTAATGTAAGTACACCCTGTCCCCCTTATTAATAAACGAAGACTAAGCTTAGACTAGTTACTCCTTGTTTTGTTCATATCACTCAAGTCATCATCAACAGCCTATCTTAGTCGACTGCTGGACATAGGCCTTTCCAAATGCACGCCACTCAGATCAATCTTGGGCTACTTGCATCCAGCTCCTGCCAGCCACCTTGCGCAAATCGTCACTCCTCCGTGCCTGAGGACGTCCTACACTACGTTTGCCTCGACGCGGACTCCACTGAAGTGCCATTTGTCATTCAATGAGCAGAGACAAAATATAGAGTAACTAATCCAAGCTTAGTCTTCGTTTATTAATTAATTTTGATTTCGTTATTTTGAAATAATATACGTGAGGACGATTTAAGTCTTCCATTGAATTAAAATTCTGAACAAACAACGTATTCTAAAGCTGTAATACTTTCAAGGATGCTCTAGACCCCGTCCTTTACCAATGCAAAACCGAATTTATGTGAGACAAGCTTACACCACGGAAACTATAGGTCCATAGCTCAACGATCTCCTAAAGAATTTTCAACTTTATTCCGGTGCGATTTAGTTGGTTATCGCATTTATTTGCGGTTTGTATTGGTCGAGATGGATGGAATTGTATTACCTACCTCCAAGAAGGACGATTGCATCGAGAAATTGTGCAGGAGTAGTCAACTTTCAAACAGAATTGCCCCGTCACACTGTTAAGATGGGTGGAAAATTGCGGCAAGCTGAAACTGCATTTCGTATTAAGGCTTAATGGAAGTTTTTAAATATAACTGGATGTTATATAATCTAATCAGGTTTGGAAGATGGCAGAGATGTTATGGGTATGAAATTTCGGATCTGACAGGTCTACGCAAATACGTATTTTTTATAGCACCAACTTTCCGAACTTTCAGATACGTTTACGGATATGAATATAAAACTATTTTCGATGATACAATAGTTTCGTATAGTTTGAGATAGGGATATGAGATATTTCAAGACATTTTGAAAGTATTATATTTGGATTCGGACCCTATAGCAAATGATTGAAATGTGTTATAAAGGTTTTTTATTTAAGACATTTCATAATAACACTCTCTCGCTTTTTTAATCCCTTCCGCGCCAAGAGTTTGCTCATCAGACAGCCACAATTTTCACTGCTGGATGCGTAGTATTTTGAATTTCAAAAATGATATTATCATTCACGCGCACTTCACTACCACAGCGCTGCAAGTTTTCATGAATTTTAAGTTCTTAGAATGCCCCATGGTTGCAGAGTCTTTTAAAGGGGATTCATATCATAGGTAGATAAAGCCTTGTATGCAACTGTTATAATTAGGTATTAAAACAGTCATATGATACTATTATTACCTCATATAATAAACCCACACTCCTGTTTTAATGCTCACGTATACAATAGTTGCTTAAATAACTTTTAAATGTAATAAAATAATTATAACATTTTATTATCATAATCGTATACAGATAGAAAGAATAATTTGGTATTAGTTCTAAGGTTATATTTATAATAGGTTAGGAATAATAACTGTGTGACCGCCAAAAAAGGGTCCTTGAAGAACTACCCTAGATATTCCCAAATATACAGTGACTTAGTCAGCAGTCTTCATAGCAAATCAATAATTTAGTAATTTAAATATTCAGCAATATACCGGCAGAGCATAAAAATATAAACAGTCTTAATATAGTTTATTACTTTTTATGTAAAACATTTTAGTGCTTTATTTGGTATTTAAAAATCTATAGATAAAGGTACTTACATATTAAAATTAGAACTGCGAAATATTTTTCAATGTTTACGTAACGAATTCCACACAAAAATGAAATACCAGGCGGACAACTCAGGTGGTCTGTTCGGAACACGGGGTTGTTTCCACATTCATTTTAATGTATCCAAGCTTACTACTTTAAATCCTTCGTAAAAGATTTACTGCAGTGCAGCTGTTGGATTCAATTCTCATTTTCGAATATAGTACGTTTTAAGTTTATAAGCTAGATATATGGCTGAATTAGAATACAGGTAAATAATTTTAACTATCATTAATTGTGCCAAAACAATGAGAATTCCTGATTTCCTACATCCATTGGGTGTAGGAAATCAGGAATATTAGGACTTTATGAAAGATTTAACAGTTTTAATCCATTATTGAAACATTTTAGCCATTCTTGAATATCTAATGGGTCCCGACTGTTAAAGTAGCTTTGTTTCTTACTTAACAGAATTATAGACTACTAGACTTCTTTTATTCTTTTCAGTTTTTATTTAAAGTATTATTTGAGCAGTCGGCTTTTTAGATTTATTAAATTTACGTTTTTTTGACTGTAGAAAAGCAGCTCCATACATTTTTTTGTTAGTATAATTATCTTCGCGATTAATTATTATTAATCGTGAAAAAAATTAAGGGTATGTCTGTAAGCACAATTCAATGATAAAAAAAGTGTCGAAGATAGAAAAAACACAATACATTTTCACATTATGGTGCTATAAAATAAGATTTACTGTAATGTATTTTTTCATACTATTTATTATAATGTATTGTTAATATTTCATTTCATGTAAGTATTTGTTAATGCCTTTTTATTGCCTTGATATCACCAATTCGTAGTTAACAATATTTCACAGAGCGATAGCGGTACAATGATAAATTAAGTGTTCAGAAGTTAATAGATTTTCTTTAAGGTTAATATTAAAATGTTAAGGCTGTTGTAATGCTGTTAGGTACCTACGAAAGGGCAAGATCACCGCGTCGAGGTCACAGGCAAGAGTCGGCTGGAATAACTTAATTACAAACTAATGAGAAATTGAAGGTGTTGTCTTACGGAAAGCAATATTAATCGTTAACTATTCCGACCCTGATTTGATGAAATCGATTAGTTTGAACTTTAATGAATTGCCGAGGAAATGCAAAACCTTTGGTTAATACAATAGAAAGAGATTTCTGTATATCCTACTAACAGTTAAGATTTAAAGGGGATCTCGGAAAGAGTTAATATTGATATTTAGGCACCAATCATGGGCTAGTTTTTTTAAAAGATTTTAATGTTTTTTTTACACGACTGGCAAAAAATAGAGTGTAATATATTCAGGGTTTATGTATGTATGTACAATTATTTTTTCCTCCGTAACTTCTAAACGCCTGAACTGATTTAGTTATGTGAGTGGTATTGTTACAATCCTTTCACAAGCAGAAATCACAGCAATGTCAAAATTTAAATTATTAACAAAGCTATGTCAATTAAAAAAAGTGTTCTAACTACTACAGGATAGGTATCATTTAAAAGGTCTTAATGAGACCATATGTAATATAAAAACGAGATAAATACTAGTTTTTTTTACTGTTTAGTTCATTTTTTTAACAGCTGTCTTGTTTTTTGTTTGTTTTCATGTGGCACTGGGAATTAGATCATGAAGTTGAGGACACAAATATAATTTTCTTTGGTTATGAATAAAACTTATGTGACTTGCCCTAGCGAAATCTTAGGTTTATGATGACGCTTAGGTAGATTTGGACAATGCGCGAATCAAATATAATTCTACTCTTAAATCTCATGTACACCGTACATGTCATGTAATCTTTGATTTGTTATAGTACTGCCAGTTGGAACCCTGGCAAGGAAGGCAGCGCCATCTTACTTTGGCTCGGCTCCAGCAATAAGTTGCCGCTTAAGTTGCATTTGCGTTATTTAAGACGCAGAAGCGACTTTAAGTTCTTATCTCACTTAGAATGCTGTAAGCAGCTACCTACTTGTATTGAATTTAAGGTTAATATAGAAAATAATTTTTATAACCTGGATTTTAAGTGTATCATAACAGTGCTTAACTTAACCCTTTTAATATGAGCACCAAAACGCAATATGATAAAGTGATTTATCAACACTGAATTTTGACAACTGAGTGTCGATAACAGGCCCGACAAATGACTTCGCCCCACCTCATGTTAAGTGTCAGATAAAAATAGCTGGTACAGCAGTTCTACCTGCCACACAAGCCATCCTCACCATTCCGGCGTGCATGTTGCTTCTTCACGCCTCTTTTAAAGGATCCCAGGTTGTAAGAAGGAAGGAAGGAAGGTACACGTGAGCGGGCAGAGCATTCCATTTACGGATAGTGCGACAAAGAAATGAGTCACTAAATTTCCTTGTACGCGTTGGAATTGTGGCCACAGTTAGACGGTGACAACGTAAGCGAGCGCGCGGTCCTCTGAAGGAAAGGGGAGGTGGAATAGGAGAGAATAACTCCTCAGAACACTCGCCGTGGTACAGACGATAGAACGCGCTTAGTGAAGCCACGTCATTGAAGAGGCTCGAGGTGTTTAGTCACCTCCTCATCGTCTATGATGCGGATCGCGCGCCGTTATAACCTATCCAAAGCATCGAGCAAGTACTTGGCGGAGCCATACCAGAGATGCGAGCAATATTCCATACAAGACCGCATCTGTGTTATACATCAAGCGCAGTTGCTCGGGCGTGAAATAACGCCGCACCTTGTTCAGGACTCTGAGTTTGCGTGTGGCCGTTTTCACCACGCTTTCGATGTAATTCTTTGGATTTAAGTTACGCTTTGTCTTAAGAAGAGAGTAAGATTAATAAGAAGCGTCACAGACACATACCCAACAGTCACATCGAAGATGTTAGCTAACGGGAGACGGTCATGTCCCCAAAGCCCTTCTTGGCGAATATCTGGGGGAATGTAAGGATGATAACAAACGTATACTCATCAAAAATGTTATTGCCAATGGAGCTAGAGATGGCACTGTCTCCGAAGCCCTTTTTGGCGACTATCTAGGGGGATGTAAGGTTGATAACAGTCACATAGCCAAAGGTTACAGCGGAAATGTTGCTGCCAAAAGAGCTGGAGACGGCCAAAGTACCCTTTCTGGCGACTATTCCAGACGTAATGAGGTCTGGCACGAAGGCGAGGGGAGTGTAGGAAGTTGTTAGGTTAATAAAAATCGTTACAAACATCACAACGATAACACAACATCGAAAATGTTGCTGCCAACGGAGATGGAGACGGCCATATCCCCGAAACCTTCCTAGCGTCGATTACAGATATGATAAAGTCCGATACGAGAGAGAGCGTAGTATGGGGGGGGGGGGGGGATAAAGATGGTAATAAGCATAAATATACATACCCAACGGTCACATCGAAAATGTTGCTGCCAACGGAGCTGGAGACGGCCATGTCCCCGAAGCCCTTCCTGGCTACTATCACAGACGTGATGAGGTCCGGCACGGAGGTGCCCGCGGCGAGCAGCGTGAGCCCCATGACCTCAGGTGGCACATGCGCCGTGGCACCGGCCACGTTCGCCCACCAAACCATCAGGTACGAGAAAAACGCTATCCAAACGATTGACCCTATAAATGTTATAGGGAACAGATTCTTCCCTGGAACACAGAAATGTAAGGCATTAGTTATTCTACATGGTTATTTAATGTATTTAACATAAGCAGTGACTATGAAACAGACCTAGCGTTAAATTTTTACTAGAAAATATACACTCCGCTCTGGTTTCAGGCCGACTTGTAAACTGTTATTTAATTAATTGTTATTAATGTCAACTACAAAGAACTTATACAAGTTGAAACTAATATCATTATAAATTAAAGTAAATATATGTTTTTAATTCATATTTTCTGAAATTAAAAATTAAGACAAAAGAGAATTAAGAGAAAGGCAAAAGAAACAAGAAGAAAATGGCAGAGCTAAACAAATGTCGCAAATAAAATTGAAAGTATGTCTTACTTTCAATTTTATATAAAGGAACAAGGGCAATAAAGGAACTTTGAAAAGAATCTTAGATGAAGTACTTGCTTTATTAGAGATAACACGAGAAATATGATCACGGAGTTTAAAATTGCGATATTGCGTTTTGTGTAAATTATTTTCAGTGACAAGGTATTTCCATGAAACACCGAATTATAAAATGAATTCAAATTTGAATGGTTTGTTTGAGAATGCGTAATTACCTTACCTATAACATTAAATATTGTGTGTATACATAACTGATACATATTTTGGATATTTCATACAAAGTAAGTGAAAACAAATTAATTATCTACTATATAAAAATAAGTCGGGTTTTCCTTCCTGACGCTATAACTCCAGAACGCACGTACCGATTTCCACGGTTTTGCATTCGTTGGAAAGGTCTCGGGCTCCGTGAGGTTTATAGCAAAGAAAATTCAGGAAAAATAAAAAAAAATCTTCTTTTAATCACCAAACGAAATGTTACATAAAACGAAGCCATCTGGTGGTGAAACGGAGTTCGCCGGGTTTGCTAGTCTTATATAAAAAGATTATCTAAATCACCTCTCGGAGTCCGCGTGTCCGGGAGGGTGATCCATAGTGGGAAGACAATTGGCGCGACCAACAGGTACGTCAGCCGCTTACGGAACCCGGATGGCCACGACATGTCCAGGGGAGTCGTGTCCTCTTCCAAGTCTCCTATCTGAAACAAATATATTATATTTATCTCATGTTTTCACGCACGCACATAGCTGCCAGATCCACGCTGCCTTGCAGCCTAAGGCTAGAGAAAATTCGACGCGGCCGTCAGGGCCACGATAGCATAATGGTCAGTGCATTCGCCCGGATAGCGAAGGATGCGGGTTCGAGTCCCGTCTACCTGGTTCGCGTGGAATTTATTATAGTAAAATTTTCTTAATAAAACTGTTTTGAACGAGCTTAAATCTCCGTGGTCGCAGTCTTGCGTCATGGATATGAGTCAGGTCAGTTTTGCGACCACGGAGCCTGTAAAGGCGTAGTTTTGAATCTGAAGCTCTAAATTGCATGAATAGTGAATAAATCCATCATAATACCCATATTCACAAAGTAACTCAGACTTCGAGACCATTTAATTTATTTATCTGCATCACAATTTTACGGAAGTATTAATACAATTTATAACTGCAGACATTGATAGAATGTTAGTTTGAACAATTCTTAAATAACTCCTCAGAACTGCAGTCAGTGACACTGATGCAAATAGGCAGAAGCTAAGCCATGCTTTTGCCACTTTAAGCAAAATGCTGATTTTCATTAAATGCCCATAGGAACACAATTTCCTAAAATATCTAGAAACACTTTGCTATAAGATAGATAATATGAGTCAAGATTTTATTTGAATTATTCCTTATACTTGGAAAATATTAAATTTAAACGCACCTACCTATAAAGAGATAATGCTTTCCGTGTAGACCTTGACTTTAGATTATGTCATCATGCTTAATGAACCGTTTTAGGTGAAATAGGAACGACCTACATAAATAAATATGCCTCTGGGGGCTCTCTAAGTTTCGGTGTCAGAACTATGTTTAATAATTCCTTCGGCAAACATTTTAGCCCTGCCCAAAGTCGTGTTGGCTTGGCATGTAAGATTTAATTCCTAAACTATCCCTTAAATCTACACATATCTTGTCTATTTCACTGTATTTATTTTTAGAATTAGTAGTATTCACTTGGATTTAATTATTAACTTATGTCACACTCAACTGATCTCACAAAAAGATTTAGTCTTTGATTTCATAGTGTAATTTAGATTTTGGAATTATTATTATATTACACCTGTTTCTACTATTACTAATTTTATAAAGAAATATAAAAACTATTTCCACCTATATATATCAGAACATTGCCTTATACTGTTTAAGGTCCCTGAAGTTGTAACAAGGTCTGATGGTAATAGGATCTCATCCGTCTTTATTCTCTCTAAGTAATGGTGATGGATGAGTCGAAGATTAATTGCCTACCCTTAAAATCGAATTACCTGTAAACCTTGTTTGTATTTACTAAACTTAGTCATAAGCAAATGATATTGTAATCTTGGCAAAGTTAACACTATCAAAATTTAAATAAAGTCAATATTTATTTCTATTACATTTACAATACGTAAGAATTGTGTATCCAAATCGGATTTTTAATTCACTGCGCACTGTCATTTGTTATTGTTCAGCTTATCAGTATTTTCTGTACTCCTTTCTGCTTCTTGTTTACATCACCTGAGTGCTCGCAGTAAATGCAAGAGTCTCCCCTATCATAAGTCTTTGCCGTGAACACAAAAAGCCTAAAACCGTAAATGTATATTGGCAACAAAAAAGCCATTATCATCTGTATAAGTCGCGACTACCCCAAACTCGCTGTCTGTCCCATTTACGAGAGTAGATAGATAGATAAATAATACTTTATTGAACACACCACATTATAAAGTACAAAGTTTGGACATTCATTTAAATAGGTGGACAATTGGCGGTCTTATGGCTATGTAGCCATTTCTTCCAGACAACCTTAGGATGGAGAGACGAATTTTAATTAAAGAGGGGGTGTGCAATTAAAATACTAAAATAAAAAAATAAAACTAACCATGATTAAAATTAATGTTCATATTAAATAATAGAGACTGATAAAAATTCAAATAAACAAACAAGAACATACATCCAAACATAAAATAAAATACACATTTTTAATAAACTTAATAATAATCATAAGATGCAAGCAAGAACAGGGAGAATGCATGGGAACAACACAAACAATTATTGTAAAAGGAAAAAATCCTTTATCTCACTTTTAAACTTTCCCTTAGTCTGTGCACGTCTAATCTCAACAGGAAGAGAGTTCCAGAGGCGCACAGCTTCAACACAAAAAGAATATTTATAGAAGGAGGTATTGTGCACAGGAGTTTTAAGGCTCAGATTCTCTGATGAGCGTAACGTCTGGGTATGGGAACTGTGGAGAAAACTGAGTAGATTCGTCGACAAATTCGGATACTGCAATTCAAGTAAAAAGAACGAAAAAAAATGACGCATGCAAAGCAATAGATCCTCATTCAGCTATACCGTTACAAGAAATATTGGACGCTGTATAACCAAGCATGAGTTTGAGTGTGAATCTGAAGCTAGATTTGGCTATCACGGTGGTATACCGCTACATATTCGTTGATATTAAGGATGTTTGCCATTCTAGATTGATCTCTCCGGAAATTTAATCTGGGACCTCGCAAATGGCAGCAAGGCTTGGCACGCTTGGCATTCATCAGTTGGTAATGTGCCGGCAAAGTCTAGAAAGTTTGAAACAGGACATTACAGCTGTTTACCTAGTCGCGTGTGTATTGTTCATTCCCAGAGGCAGTTACAATAACAAACTTTATTCAATGTATTTACGTGGTTTATGCCTCTATAGGTAACTAAAAAAGAATTATCAGCTTTATCTACAGTTATATTTTTTATTTTTTAAGCATTTAGCTTGATGTTCAAATCTAAAGAAAATATAACTAGAAAAAATTCCACACGGACCAGGCAGCAGACGGGACTCGAACCCGCACCCTTCGCTATCCGGGCGAATGCACTGACCAATTATGCTACCGCTGCCCTGATGCGTTTACCTCTTCGTTTACCTACAGTGTTTTTAAACGAAAATGAAATGTTGAATATTAGTTTTATATATCTACACCGTGTTTGTCCGTTTGCCTTACTGGTACGTCTTTAAACTCAAACTCAAAATACTTTATTAAGTTTAGGCTGTTACAAGCATGCATGAATGTCTAGAAGCTATGCCATCAGTTCGTAAATCTACGGCGGGAGACCTTGTACTGAGAAGAACTGGCAAGAAACTAAGCAATTGAATAAAGGTGGATAAAATTGTATTACCTTATTTTATTACAAGTTTTCCTAAACAAACAGCTTTTGTAGTAACGTACACATTTTGAAGTCGTAGAAAATTAATACTTTGTATGGCGGGGGTAGTTAGCGCGTTCGGTTGCGATCGTTGACGTTAAGCAACTTTTACAGTGGTCGGTCATTGGATGGGTGAACAAAAAACTTTATACTCGAGTTCCTCCGTGCTTCGGAAGGCACGTTAAGCCGTTGGTCCCGGCTGCATCTGCAGTCGTTAGCAACCGCCAATCCACACTGGACCCGCGTGGTGGGTCACGGCCCAATCTCCATATTCCATCCATAGGAAAATCCTGTGCCCCACCAGTGGGGACATTAATAGGCTGATGATGATGTGATGTGATATATCAAAATAAGAAAGAACTAGCTAAGTACAGTGTTTAAGTTGAAAGGCATAGGTCACCTAATTTCCAGGTTTCTCGGTGAGTCTCGATGAAAATATCGTCGTCAACATGCTAGTTATGCTTCTGAGTGTAATTAATCATCAATCGATTGTATGTAACATTCTTGTTATTACATGTTGGAGATTAATAGTTGGCTTGGCAGTTAGAGGCTGGCCAGAAATCGATTACAATTACAGTCAAACTGTTTCTATTAGTTATGTGTAGTAAAGTTATGTGGGACTGTAGATTCTTTGTGATTTGTTACATCTGGAGCCACATAATGGAAATCCTTCGATTATTTCATAATGCAAAAATTGCGTCGCTGAAATCAAGCAATGTACTATGGTGATACTACAAAAAATCTGATTGAGAAGTAATTACTAATTTTCTTTGTCATCCTAAAATCATTTCAAAATATAAATTCCTTTTTCGCTCCCAGTTACTTGAGATGAGGAATGAAACAGTATGTGTGTACCTTCATAATTAAGAGTAATATTTATTTGTAATTGCATTTTTTAAACTATTTTTCTTAACTAATATTGATTTGCGTCAGCTGTATATCGTTAGCTCTGCGTGTTCCAGATAAAAAGTAAAAGCTGAAACGATACTTAAAGTGTTATTATACTGTTTTACAACGTTAAGATCAATTGTTAAATGTTTTCATAAGCTATCATAATAAACAAGAAGATAAAACATATTTTTGAAACAAACAAACGTGAAAAATCGAGTAGATATTGGAATTAAAACGTTAGTTAAACCTTAAATACAACCTGGAATTTAAACATTATTACGTTATAACAGGCTTTGTTCTCTGGTTAGTAGTTTCACTAGCACCAAACTTACACATAAACACGAAACCTAACTTGCGCAAAAATAGTTTTGTATTTTTGTGATTTAGACTAGGTAAGCTATGAAAATGCAGCAAAATTTATTCGAAGCGAAACGAGGGTTGTAATACAAATAAAAGTTTATTTATATTATGCTTGTCTTCCTTTCTTATTTTACAAATAAAGCTGCTTTAGGTTCGCAAACAGGAATAATAGTGAGGCCGTGGAAACTTTGAACATTTCGCGGAATATTGTGTGCTATCGTCGACATGAAAGCACAGAATGGAAAGCGCTTTTGTATACAAAGCTATCATCAAATGAATCCTTGTCAGAAAAGGTAAAAATTTGGTGATTATTATAATGCTATATCTGCATTGTACTAGGGTTTCTTGTTTTACGCTTCATTTGAACATTACACACAAGTTAAATTGTATGCTTGACAAATCGTGATCTATTTTCTTATTCAATTGCAATGGAAAAGATAATGATAAGAACTTATTGAATTATTAAAAAAGAAGAGAAGAAGAGAGAAAAATAGTAAGGGAGTTTAATAAGTAGCGCTTGAATTAAATAAATCACATTAAAACCAGTGGCTCTAGACAAATGGCATCTCCATGCGTTAAAAGCAAAGGTTTTATCGATAACTTAAAAAGCCTATAGGATCTAACTAGACGTCCGCTAGGCCTCCATTGGGCAGATCTAGCGGAGTCTCCTTGTCATGTATCATTATATATGTTACCTCTACTATAGCATCTAACTGGACGTCCACTAGGCCTCCATTGGGCAGGTCTAGCGGGGTCTCCTTGTCATGTATCATTATATATGTTACCTCTACTATAGCATCTAACTGGACGTCCGCTAGGCCTCCATTGGGCAGATCTAGCGGGGTCTCCTTGTCATGTATCATTATATATGTTACCTCTACTATAGCATCTAACTGGACGTCCACTAGGCCTCCATTGGGCAGGTCTAGCGGGGTCTCCTTGTCATGTATCATTATATATGTTACCTCTACTATAGCATCTAACTGGACGTCCACTAGGCCTCCATTGGGCAGGTCTAGCGGGGTCTCCTTGTCATGTATCATTATATATGTTACCTCTACTATAGCATCTAACTGGACGTCCACTAGGCCTCCATTGGGCAGGTCTAGCGGGGTCTCCTTGTCATGTATCATTATATATGTTACCTCTACTATAGCATCTAACTGGACGTCCACTAGGCCTCCATTGGGCAGGTCTAGCGGGGTCTCCTTGTCATGTATCATTATATATGTTACCTCTACTATAGCATCTAACTGGACGTCCGCTAGGCCTCCATTGGGCAGGTCTAGCGGGGTCTCCTTGTCATGTATCATTATATATGTTACCTCTACTATAGCATCTAACTGGACGTCCACTAGGCCTCCATTGGGCAGGTCTAGCGGGGTCTCCTTGTCATGTATCATTATATATGTTACCTCTTCCATAGCATTTAACTGGACGTCCGCTAGGCCTCCATTGGGCAGATCTAGCGGGGTCTCCTTGTCATGTATCATTATATATGTTACCTCTTCCATAGCATTTAACTGGACGTTCGCTAGGCCTCCATTGGGCAGATCTAGCGGGGTCTCCTTGGACTATGTGGGTATGTATCATTAATCATTATATATGTTACCTCTTCTATAGCATCTAACTGGACGTCCGCTAGGCCTCCATTGGGCAGGTCTAGCGGGGTCTCCTTGGCCTGCGTGGCGGCCGCGGAGTGCCGCGCAGCAGCCGCACCAGCCCCTCCCGCCGTAGGCCGCGTGGCCTCCAGCAGCACCTTCAGAGAGGCGATCGCGTGTAACTGCGTCGCCTTCTCGTCTACTTTCCCTGAAATATTGGTTACAGTTACAATTTGGCATTATACTTTGCTTTCACAACTACAATAGCGCTATACATATATAAATCAGTCAGAGACAGAAATAGTGAATGTACTATGGATAGAAGTAATGGGAAGAAGTAAGTTAACATGCTTACTCATTTGTCGTTGTTATTTTCACGCACTAGTATTTTCTGTTTAAGTAAAAAGAGCAATGTCATCAGGGACGCGGTTTTATGAAGTAATGTTAAATATTGTTCAAGATCAACCAATTTATTCATAACGTCCGGAGTCCCCAAATATAGATCTCATGCGACTAGGCGCAGCATCGCACACAGCAAACTTAAGTATCCGATATAAAGAGGAAAACGTCTTCTCTGTATCTGTTAATTACAACAACACAACGAAATCTGTGAACATTTACTTCTATAGCGTGCGCTTCTCTAAATTTTCGGGCAACAACGTTCGCACACCGTGTGCGTTGAGTCCGTAACAAGTCCTTAGCTGACATTTTCTTCACGATTCAGGGAATTTTGTCCACCGCAGACAAAGTCCCTCGTCTGCGCAAGCCATAAGCCTTCAGGGTAGTCGGGATAGAATATTACCTTTATATTAACACCAAAGTTATAAAGAGTCGAAGAATACGAAAAATTGCTAACAGAGGTACGAGTATTTCGTTTCGCCCTTTCTTCATCAAAACAAAAAAGTATTAAAGGAGTTGTAACATATTCTAAACTTTCGAAACATTTTATAAAGTTCGTTCTTTTTATTATTTACTTTGCTTTACTACTAAAGTTGCCGCAGAATTATGAAAAAGCTCCACGAAATAAAGCCTTTACAAAGCACATAAAGTGGTTCCGGAAACTATGGCGACAGATATGAGATAGCTAAACGCTGATCTCTCTTATATGTTAATATTCAAGTTATTTTAAAATTATCTTGGAAATAGTGTTGCCCGAAATCGGTCTTGGTCTTGTTCTTGCGTTTTCGCAAGACCAAGGTACAGCTCTTGTATGTACTGTGCCATTTATGTGCGACCAAGATCTTGCGGCAGCTGGTCTATAATTGTAAAATTAGGATGATTAAGTACATAATATCTCCTCACTAAACGGATCGTTATAATTTCCAATAACTTAAAGTGGTTCCGGAAACTATGGTGATAGATATGAGATAGCCAAACGCTGATTACTCTCTTATGTAAATATTCAAGTAATTATAAAATTATCATGTTTCCAAATTTCGTAAAGAATTCAAGTGGCTTCCTATACGTCTGCGCAGGAATTTGAGAATCCTTTGCCTCCTTTTCAACATCCTCTATAATCCCTCGTATCCATCCTATCTTCGGGAGCGGTTTTCCTTTGTCCACTCTCCTACAGATCATTGTAGATCCCATCTCAAATCCCTTCTAAAATGTCCCACCCATAACACTGGCTTCGCATCCTATTCATTTACAGTACATGCCGTGCGCCTGTGGAATTCGCTGCCAGCAGGAATTAGAGGTTCCAGTTCTGTCTCGGTGTTTAAAAAGCGTCTAAAGGAACATTATTTATCTTCATGCCCTTAAACATGCCCTTACTTTTTTTCATTGTTTCTTTTCTCCTCTTTTCGTCCATAATCTTTATATATATAATTCTTCTGTGAGTGTGTATGTCACTGAACTTCTCTTAAATGACTGGACCGATTGTGATGAATTTTTTTGTGTGTGTTCAAGGGGATCTGAGAATGGTTTAGATTCACAATTTTGTCCGCTGGACAACCCCTATTTTTTTAGGGCGGTACGAAGTTCGCTGGGTCAGCTAGTATATGTATTTATGTATATATCTATTATTATAAGTATTAGTACCTATGTATAATTGTGTATGTCCCCTATTCTTAAGTATTTAACGTATATATTTAATCATAATTAGGTGTACACACTGACTGGCTTTTCAATGTGCTTTCCTACAATGGGCTTGCTGGAAAAAAATTCAGATTGAAATAAGCTGTGCCCTTGTACTATTATCTTATTTTGTTATCTCTTTCTATGCAAAATGTATAAATAAATAAATATCTTGGAAATAATGTTTCTCAAAATTGGTCTTGGTCTTTTACTCTTGGCCTTGTTCTTGCGTTTTCGCAAGACCAAGACTGAGGTCCGTATTACAGAATGACAACTAAGTGTTGATCTTTACTTGAGTAAAGTTAGAAACGGATGTCGCTATGTACTATATATAGCGACATCCCTTTCTAACTACGCTCAAGACTAGATCAATCACCGAGAATCTTTCTATAATACGGGCCTAAGACCGCCCAATTTTAGCAACATCAAGACTGACCGTGCTAGATTTGAGTAAGGACAAGACTAAGGACCGTATTATAGAAAGATTCTCAGTGATGAATCTAGTCTTGAGCATAGATAGAAAGGGATGTCGCTATATAGAGCACATAGCGACATCCCTTTCTAACTGTACTGAAGTAAAGATCAACACCCTGTTGTCATTCTGTAATACGGGCCTAAGTCTGCGGGACTCTTGCATCTTGCAGTTAGGACTGAGTGTCGTTTCAGGGAGGAGGAGTTCGGGTATACGCTGACGATCTTGCGGCATTTATATGACATTGACAGGAGGGTACTGCTGGTGTATAAGTGGTATAATGAGGGTGAATAAGAACGTATATCTCCCCACTAAACGGATAAGTATAATTTGCAGTAACTTACAGAGGATAATAGGTAACGTAAAGTTTATTTAAAGAAATATTTATTCAATCTAGGCTGTAAGAAGCACTTGTGAAAGTCGAGAAGCTACGCCGTCGGTTCGCAAAAGTACCTTGTACTGAGAAAAACCAGCAAGAAACAATAAGAAAGACAGGGCTGCTTTATTCGCCCTGTATTATTATATACAGAGTCGTCAAGTTGAAAAATGACTTCAGAGATAATTCTGAAGTCACCTTCCATTACACAATTTGGAATATAGCTATATACAATAGGTTACATAGTGAGCTTTACTTTTTCAGCAGGTATATAGGACGCGGATACAGATACCACAATAGCAGGCCATCCACTACCGTTCATTCCTGTCGGAATTTATAATACGTACGGATTGAATGGTAGTTAATTACTTGGTCGCTGTTGCAAATCAACTACTGCGCAAGCCGTACGGATTATAGATTCCGGCAGGAATGAATGTTAGTGGATGGCCTGCTTTTGTTATGAAAAATGTCTCATACCATTATATGACAAGAAACACTATTTACATGCATTATTAAGCAGATTTATATACACCTCGACGAGGAGGATGAGAAGCTCGATGGCGCGCGTGGTTTGCGCATTCGGCTGCGATCGTTGAAATTAAGCAACTTTCGCAGTGCTCGGTCATTGGATGGGTGACCAAAAATCTTATATCTCGAGTTCCTCCGTGCTTCGGAAGGCACGTTAAGCCGTTGGTGCCGGCTGCGTTTGCAGTCGTTAGCACCCGCTAATCCGCACTGGGCCCGCATGGTGGTTCGTGGCCCAATCTCCCTATTCCATTCATAGGGGAGGCCTGAGCCCCAGCAGTGGGGACATTAATAGGCTGATGATGATGATGATTTACACCTTCCTCTATAAATAAAATGCTTATTTATGTTCTTAAAATTAGTTCCGATTTTGGTCAAGCGCCACAAAATCGGAGTCAACCTGTATTTTCACGTAGGCAAGCACGTAGAATATAAAAGTTTTAAAAGAAAAAAACTCAAGATTTTTAAAACGTGAGAGATACTGATTAAATGATTTTATTTATTACTAGTGGCCCGCCCTCGCTTAGCTTCGGTGTAGAGCTGTAGTGTAAACTATAGTTTTTGTTCTCAGGCTTGTGCTATAAAGAATGACTTTATTTATATAATTACACGTGTTATTGTGAGTCAACCATAAAAGATAGACATATGCTGTTGCAGAATATTTTTTCGACAATTTTATGTAGAATATTTCCGTCATACATAATTACTATGTAACTTTAACCATTAAGGCTGCAACCGCGACGGAAGCTTAAAAAATGGAGTTACTTCTCCCGTTTTCCCAACATTTCCCTCCACTACTCTGCTGCTATTGATTGTAGCGTGATGAAAAGTATACTATAACCTGCCCAGGAGTATGAAGAATAATTGTTCCAAGTTTCGTTAAAATCCGTCGAGTAGTTTTTGTTTCTATAAGGAACATACACACAGACAGACAGACAGACAGACAGACAAAAATTTTACTGATTGCATTTTTGGCATCAGTATCGATCACTAATCACCCCCTGATAGTTATTTTAAAAATATATTTCATGTACAGAATTGACATCTCTACAGATTTATTATAAGTATAGATTATTCTCTCATTTATTTCATTTCACAAGTGAGGTTTTTTATAAAATAGATATAAAAGTAAAATATAAAAACGTAAATACAAAAATAAATATAGTATATAAAACCTAACCTAGAAGGCTACCAGCAGCGGAGCGAGGCCCAAGCTACCGGTGGTTAGGGCCGCAGAGAAAGAAATCGCTTGACGATGCGCACCGTGTCCAGGAGTACTGCCTTTTGCATCTGCCCCTTGATCCAACCATCTAGCGAGAGGCTCTTTAGATGTTGATCGAGACTCTTCGCTATGAGACCGTTTACGCTAACGACTATAGGGACAATGATCGTCGAATCCACATCCCACAAAGCGGTTACCTCGTGGGCCAAGTCCAGGTACTTGCTGAGCTTGTCCTTCTCGGCCTTCACGAGATTCTCGTCATGCGGGATGGTGATATCGATGAGCACTGCCTGGCGTTTCAATAATTTATTATTATTATTATTAAAATTTGGAACGAATCTGTCGACATCACCGTTCAGTTTAGTACCATTAGCACGAACCAATATCTAATTTGAATAATTTGCAAGTGGGAATTTGAGTAACTATTCGAATTCGATATTGGTACGTGCTTAGGGTACTGATATGATAAAGAAGTAAACATTTTTCATTAACGATTAATTTTCACTTTCATTTTTCTATCGCGAATTCGCGAATGAT